CCCAAGAAGACTTTCCACATCAAGCAGATGTTCACCTGCACATCTGCTAATGTGGTATACTGCATCCGCTGTACCCGATGTGGCCTCCTCTACATCGGGGAAACCAAGCGGAGGCTCAGGGACCGCTTTGCAGAACACCTATGCTCGGTTCGCAATAAACAACTGCACCTCCCAGTCGTGAACCATTTCAACTCCCCCTCCCATTCCTCAGACGACGTGTCCATCCTGGGCCTCCTGCAGTGCCACAATGATGCCACCCGAAGGTTGCAGGAACAGCAACTCATATTCCGCTTGGGAACCCTGCAGCCCAATGGTATCAATGTGGACTTCACAAGCTTCAAAATCTCCCCTCCCCCTACCACACAAAAAAAAAAAAAACGCCCGTCCCCGCCTCCCTACCGATCTCTTCCTCCCACCTATCCCCTCCTCCCACCTCAAGCGGCACCCCCATCTCCTACCTACTAATCTCATCCTGCCCCTTTGACCTGTCCGTCCCCCCTGGACTGACCTATCCCCTCCCTAACTCCCCACCTACACTCATCTTTACTGGTTCCGTCCCCGCCTCTTCGACCTGTCTGTTTCCTCTCCACCTATCCTCTCCTCTATCCATCTTCTATCCGCCTCCCCCTCTCCCTATTTATTTCAGAACCCCCTTCCCCTCCCCCATTTCTGATGAAGGGTCTAGGCCCGAAACGTCAGCCTCTCTGCTCCTGTGATGCTCCTTGGCCTGCTGTGTTCATCCAGCTCTACACCTTGTTGCCTCGGATTTTCCAGCATCTGCAGTTCCTACAATATCTGCTGCCACACCTGCTGGGTTTTGTCAGCAATTTATGTTTTCAATTCTTGAATAGTCCAACAGGCTCGACCATTCATTCCAGCCACAATTTTTACAAAGTTTGAATTGATGGGAAAAGCGAACTTGCCATGCCTTAAATATGAAGAAGAATGTTAGATAAAGCTGAAGTATAGTGGGCTGAATCTGATTTATCTAATTTAAACAATATCCACATTCTCAGCTATGGAACCTGCCAGGATAGATTTGAGTTTCTGTCACCTACTCTGTTGTTCTTTACAGAAGCGGCTGCATTGTGTGGATAATTACTCCGACCTGTGTACTGTGAATATTAGTGACCAGAACCTCCATTCCGTATGTATGGTGTTAAAATTGCAATTGTGTGCTTGTGAATAGGGATTAAAGTCATAAAATGTCAGGAATGTAAGAAAAGGAGGCAGCCATTTATTTCCTCAGATCTGTTCCACTAATCAGTGAAATCATGGCTGATTTGTGTTGACCTACCTTATAATGCTCTCCTTTTGCCTATATTCTTTCATACCTTTGATTAATAAAATCTGTCAATCTCTGATATAAAATTTGTGAATCAACATCACAGAGCCTACAGCACAGAAATAGGCCCTTCGGCCCAACTCGTCCATGCCGATTAGGTTTCCTAAACTGAACCAGTCCCATTTGCCTGCATTTGGCCCCTATCCCTCTAAACCTTTCCAATCCGTGTAGCTGTCCAATTGTCTTTCAAATATTGTAGTTGTACCCACTTCTACCACTTCCTCTGGCAGCTTGTTCCTTTTTCGCAACACGTTCTGTGAAAAAGTTGCCCCTCAGGTCCTTTTTAAGTAGAATCATGGAGTCATACAGCATGGAAACAGACCTTTTGGTCCAACTAGTCCACACTGACCATGATCCCAAACCAAACTAGTCCCACTTGCCTGCGTTTGGTCCATATCCCTCCAAATATTGTACTGATCCAAATGTCTTAAAAGTTGTAGGAGCAAATTAATGCAGATGCTGGAATCTGTATTGAAAACAAAGAATGCAGGAAATCACATGGGTCAGACAGCATCCAGGTAGAGACAGCAAGCTAACGTTTCGAGTCTAGATGACTCTTCATCCAGCATGTCCACCTCAGCCTCCGAGGTTTCTTTATCGCTAGACAGAGGGGGAGAACCCATTGGTTTCGAAAGTCTTCCCAGCTTTTTTGAGGGGCGGGTATGTTTTGCTCCTGCCCCGTTTGTGAGTTTGCAGCTTTCAAATGGCCCACATGCTTCTTCAGGACTGCCTCACCTACCCAAACTTTGTACGTCATGGGACCTGATCTCGTGCCAATCATGCCTCTTACCCATGCAGAGCCATTTCCCTGGTTTTGGCACCAAACCATCTTTCTCGCTTGGAGGACTCTTGTGTCCGGCATTGGCATTTCTGTTGCCATTTCACTCTTCACCCCCAGGTCTGGGAAGAAGAGATTTAACCTGGTGCAGAGTCTTCTTCCGATTAGTAACTCTGCTGGAGTTATCCCTGTCATTGCATGAGGGGTGGTCTGACAATCGAATAGGAACCGGGACAGTTTGGTATCTAGTGAGGCTGTAGGCTGTTTCTTTAAGATTGCCTTCAAAGTTTGGATTGCTGGTTCCACCAGACCATTGAATGATGGATGGTATGGAGCTGTCCATATATGCCAAATGCCATTCAACTTTAGGAAATATTCAAATTCCCTGCTGGTAAATGACAGCCCGTTGTCTGTGACCAACAATTCTGGGAACCTGTGTATTGCAAAAGATGCTCGCAGCTTATCTATCATTGTCCCCGTGTTTGACAAACGAACTCAATGCATGTTCAACCACTTTGAGTGGGTGTCCACAATGACTAAAAACGTTGACCCCATGAAGGGACCTGCGTAGTTGACGTGAAAACGAGTCCAGGGTTTCGCTGGCTATTCCCACAAATGTGGGGGAGCTGCTAGTGGTAAATTTTGTCCTTGTTGGCACTTTGGACACTGCCTCACCAACGTGGCTATGTCTGCATCCAGTCCTGGCCACCAGATATAACTTCTTGCCAACATTTTCATTCGGGAAACCTCTAGATGACCATGGTGCTCAGGACAATCATGCTTGCTCGCCATAACACAATGCCGTTCTCTACAGTGATCTGGTCTCTCCTGGTCCAGAAAGGTTTCAATTCTGGCTGTGATGGCATTTTTATAGCCCCCATCACCACCAGCTGTTTCAGTTTTGGCAGGACCGGATCTTTTTGCGTTCACAGTTTGATATTGTCAGCAGTGACCAGAGGGTGTCTAACTACAGGGATAGCTCCAGCGGGGTTGCTAATGGGAGAAGACTCCGCACCAAGTTAAATCTGATTTCTTGGACCTGAAAGGTGAAATGGCATTAGGGACACCAAGACTCCTCTAAGTGAGTCTGGACACAAGACTCCTCCAAGCAAGAGAGACAGTTTACTTCAGGTGGTGAAATTTGGTGCTCAGGAAACATTAGGCTCCTAATAACCACAAGCTGTCAGGAGAATTATTCATTGCTTTTCATCTGCCCCAAAGTCATTTGCCTGGAGAAAATAAGGTATTCTCTCCACATAATTGTGGCCAGTCTTTGAAGGCAGATCAAATTGTCATGCTTCCCAAATAGCAGCATGATGCCCAACTCAAAGACAACTATTGCGAGCAAATTTCTTCAGGAGCATATTTTTTCTGTCGTCACCACAGAAATGACTCCACAAAGGCCGGTATCCTGCCACCAAATCACCCTTTAGTTACACGTGGATAGTATTTGACACTGGTCTGGCTTCCTCAGAGCCAGCTCTCAGAGTGCACAGAACCTCTGACACCTCTGTTTCTATCTGTCAGCCAGGGCTCCCTGATTGGACCAGATAAACAGCCCCAATCAGAGAACTCATATTCTATGGTGTTCACCTGGCTGACCCCGTTACGATCACTACAGGGCCATTTACATATTGATCGTGAATTATGCTTTGTGAAAGTGTTTTTCAAACTAGACTGCTTAACCTCATGTCTGAGGTTAGTTGTTATGTTCCCTTATCCTAGATTCCCTCCAATCAGTGGGATCAGTTTCTCTCTACCCTTTTATATCTCCCTATTGTCTTGAAAACATTTAACATAAAAAACCTTTAGTATTCTAAATTCCAGGGAATGCAACCCAATTCTCTCCTCGTGGTGTAACCTTTGGAGTCCCAGTATGCATCTAGTAAATCTCTGTTGCATTGTCTTCAAGGTCAATATCAGCCATGGTTCCTGAGATGTGCAGCACAGACTGAACTCCATGTGTGACCTAACCAGCGTTCTGTACAGCTGTAATATGACTTCTACAATTGTATCCAATCCTCCAGATGTAAAGGCCTGCATTTCATTTGTCTTTTTTAATCATTTTATGTGCCAGTTCATGATATTTTAATGATTATGACCTCCATTACTTCTAGGGGATATATTTGGTGCTCCTTTGCTGCTGGGTTGAAGGCCATCCCACCACTTATCTGCCAGCCCTTGGCCTGTCAGAGTTTAGGGGAAGCCCATCTGCCCTTCAGTATTTTCAATTCTGAATCGTCAATTGATGGGAAGCCCAGGCCATGTAGAAAACCCAGCAGTTTTAGCTGCACTGTCTGATGTCAAGTTAATGTGGAGTTCTTCCTTGCTTAACCCCTGACTCATTGGAGGTAGCCCTCCAACAAAGTCGTCATCCTCTTTAACTTTCCCCTGTCCTGTAGAATCCACCCCAAACCCCTGCAAAGACACCCCTAAACCTGGACTTTTCTGGGCTTCCAGTGTATTGTGCCTATCTGTAGTTCCAGCATTGGCCACCACTCCCAAGTGGCACTTTTAGAACTGCAGACCTGCTGGCAATATGGTTGGCCCAGCAAGTCTTCAAGGTGGAGCTTTCTCACTTTTAATTTATTAATTCTGCTTCCAGTATTAAATTACTAATACTCAGGATTACGTGGCCTTCCCCTATCACTGGAATGGTAGGAATTGCAATTTGGTGTCCTGTAAAATCTAGCTCTCGAGCTTTCAACTCTGGCAGTTGCTCAGTGTCACCTCAAAGTCAGAAAGTTGTGGATTTGAGTCCCATTCCAGAGACTTCAGTATCACAATCTAAGCTGACACTCCAGTGCAGTACAAAGTGAATGCTGTATTGTCAGAGATACTGTTGTATGGTGGATATAAAAGATTGCTGGCAGTATTTGAAGAAAAGCAGGTTAATTCTTCTTGGTATGGGCCCAAGCTACGCCTGCCTCTTTGTAGGTTACGTGGAACAATCCCTCTTCCGTACCTACACCGGCCCTAAACCCCAGCTCTTCCTCCGTTACATTGATGACTGTATCGGCGCCGCCTCGTGCTCCCACGAGGAGCTCGAACAGTTCATCCACTTCACTAACACCTTCCACTTCAACCTTAAGTTTACCTGGACCATCTCTAACACCTCTCTCCCCTTCCTGGACCTCTCTGTCTCCATATCGGGCAACCACCTAGAAACCGATATTCATTTCAAGCCCACCGACTCCCACAGCTACCTAGAATACTCCTCCTCCCACCCACCTTCCTGCAAAAATGCTATCCCCTATTCCCAATTCCTTCGCCTCCGCCACATCTGCTCCCAGGATGAGGCATTCCACTCCCGTACATCTCAGTTGTCCTCGTTTTTCAAGGACCATAACTTCCCCCCCTCGGTGGTCGAGAATGCCCTCAACCGTGTCTCCCACATCTCCCGCACCTCATCCCTCACACCCTGTCCACGCAATAAGAACCAATAAAGAATCCCCCTCGTCCTCACGTACCACCCCACCAACCTCCGGATCCAACGCATCATCCTCCGACACTTCCGCCATCTGCAATCCGACCCCACCACCAAAGACATCTTTCCCTCCCCACCTTTATCTGCTTTCCGGAGGGACAACTCTCTCCGTGACTCCCTCGTCCGCTCCACACTCCCCTCCAGCTCCACCACACCCGGCACTTTTCCCTGCAACCGCAGGAAGTGCTACACCTGCCCCCATACCTCCTCCCTCACCCCCATCCCAGGCCCCAAGAAGACTTTCCACATCAAGCAGATGTTCACCTGCACATCTGCCAATGTAGTAGACTGCATCCGCTGTACCCGATGTGGCCTCCTCTACATCGGGGAAACCAAGCGGAGGCTCGGGGACCGCTTTGCAGAACACCTACGCTCGGTTCGCAATAAACAACTGCACTTCCCAGTCGCGAACCATTTCAACTCCCCCTCCCATTCCTCAGACGACATGTCCATCCTGGGCCTCCTGCAGTGCCACAACGATGCCACCCGAAGGTTGCAGGAACAGCAACTCATATTCCGCTTGGGAACCCTGCAGCCCAATGGTATCAATGTGGATTTCACAAGTTTCAAAATCTCCCCTCCCCCTACCGCATCCCAAAACCAGTCCAGCTTGTCCCTGCCTCCCTAACCTGTTCTTCCTCCCACCTATCCCCTCCTCCCACCTCAAGCGGCACCCCCATCTCCTACCGACCAATCTCATCCTGCCCCTTTGACCTGTCCGTCCTCCCTGGACTGACCTATCCCCTTCCTAACTCCCCACCTACACTCACCTTTACTGGCCCCATCCCCACCTCTTCGACCTGTTTGTTTCCTTTCCACCTATCCTCTCCTCTATCCATCTTCTATCCGCCTCCCACTCTCTCCCTATTTATTTCAGAACCCCTTCCCCTCCTACTTTTCTGATGAAGGGTCTAGGCCCGAAACGTCAGCCTCTCTGCTCTTATGATGCTGCTTGGCCTGCTGTGTTCATCCAGCCCTGCACCTTGTTGTCTCGAATTCTTCTTGGTGTATTGGCCAAAATTTTTCCTCAAATTATATAACAAAAAGCACCTAAACATTAAAATTCAAAAGCAAAATACTGTAAATGCTGGAAAGCTGAAATAAAAACATAAAATACTCAGCAGGTGAGGCAGCATCTGTGAGAAGCAGACTTAATATTTCAGTTCTGTTACATTTCGTTAGATCTGATGGTGTTTCTCCATCTGAGACAGAACTGTTACAGCTAGCATCAAGATGGCTTGTTGAGTTAATTAACCTAGTTTTCTGGATTATAACATAGATAATCTGTTTTTAACAATGTGGATTGAGGAATAAATTTTGATTAGCACTTTCCTCTTCAAAATACAACCATAGGAAGCTTCAATTTTTCATCTCATTCATAACACACTTTGGTGTAATGCAGAACTTGCTGGTGCGAGACCTTTAACTCTCGCACACTTGCCACAAGCAGCATTAGGGATGCTGGCCTTTCTAACTGCTTGGTTTGGTGTTTTTGGTTTCCAGCAGCGACACGGTTATCAATTTGTTTCTTACAGAGATAAACTGTTGCAGTTTCCTCAGTAAGGAAGTAAACAGATAAGCTACAGTAAATATCTTACAAATGAATAAATATTGTAATAAGTCCAAATTGGTTTTAACCATCTGCTTATAAGTATTTTTTTCTTTAGGTTAAACAAGAAGATCTTAAGTTATTTGATTCTGTGGTTTATGTAAATGCAGCAGAAAACCATTTGCCTTTGGGTAAGAATCAACTCATTCATCAAGGAAATATGTTATCTCAGCACCCTGGACAATGGAGGGAAAAAAGTATGCACAGTACAAGCTCCTGTTACAAAGTGTGTGTGCACATGAGAACAGAATCAGGTATAGGTGTGATGCCCCCCACGGGTGAATGGTCAGTCAGCACCCAAGGAATGGATGGCCACAGGAGCTGAACTATGGCTAAGATCTAAAGTTTGAGGCAAATAGCTGAAATGCAGCTAAGAGGAAGCTTGATAATAACTTGAAAAAGAAAAGAGTGGAACGATATATTAATGAGTGGGAGGAGGCTTATGTGGAGAATAAACAGTGGCATGCACCAGTTGGGCTGAATGGCCTAAATCTGTGTTATACATTCAATGTAATTATATATGATATATGTCCACCCAAAACTCAGAATTGTCCTAAACTCAGCAGAAGGCATAGCAACGCAGGGACTTGAAAATGTCCAGAAATATGAGAGAGAGAGAGGTAAAATAAGCCTGAATAATATTTGCTTTGAGGCCTAGTTTAGAACAGCAGTGGAAGCTATCCACAGTGATTTTTTTGTCCAGAGGGAAAAGAGGAAAGATAGCTCTTAGAAGGAGGGAGATTAGTAGTGAGGGATTCAGAGATGGTAATGCTATTGAATGTCAAGTGGAAATGATTAGATTCTGTCTTGTTAGAGATGGTCATTGCCTAGCACTATGTGAGGGCCATTTTTTTTTTTGTGTGTTTGATTGTGGACTGGAATGAAAGAAGAACGGTTTTAAAAACCAAGGATTATTGTGGGTCTGCTGCACTTTTTGAAGGCAAATAATCTAACACTCATTTTAAGCACTCTTTACTCAGCTGCTCATTCAAGCAGCAGAGGGAGAGGTTTCCAGATGAACTGGACCTGGAGAATCATGGCAAATCCTGTGAACAGGGACCACAGAATAGCTTTCCTAGTTTTTCCCTCCACCCATACACACCCATGTTTTGTTTCCTGTCTGTGTCTGTCTGTATGTGTGTGTAGAGGGTGAGTTTATAACTGGGACACAGTTTTAGCCAGTAGAATTATATGCTGACTGCTTCTCATTTTTCACCTATAGGTAGAATCTATTTAGTTGTAATGAAAAGTAATTCCTGTTAAGTACAGAACCATTGACTGTGCTTTCTGTCGACCTAGGTCTAAAAGACAGGGAAATTGGGGAATTCATTTTAATTCATTTAAAAAATCTTTAATACAACTCAGGGAACTGCAGGGCTTGATATCCAGCGCACTACTTGTGAGATGTAAATGTCACTTAACCCTTGTAAACCATAGCCTGGTAATTGTCCAGATCTTGCTGCATTTAACCATGAACTACTTTAGCATCTGAGGAGTTGTGATTAGTGTTGAACATTATGCAATCATCAGCCAACATTCCCACTTCTGACCTTATGATGGAGGGAATGGCATTGTTGAAGCGACTGAAGATGGTTGGGCCTAGGACACTCTGGGGACCCTGACGAACTCCTGCAGAGATGTCCTGGAGCTTAGCTGACTGACCACTACAACTACAACCATCCTCCTTTTTACCAGATATGACTCCAACCAGTGGACAGTTTGACCTCGATTCCTGTTAACTCTAGTTTTGCTGGGGCTCTTGATGCCACATTTAGTCAAATATAGCCTTGATATCAAGGGTAGCCACAATCTCCTCTCCTCGAAAATTCAGCTCTTCTGTCCATGTCCGAACTAAGACTGTAATGAGGTCAGGAGCTGAGTAGCTCTGGCTGAACCCAAACTGGGTGTCAGAGAGCAGGTAATTGCAAAGCAGGTGCTGATTGATAACACTGTTGATGAACCTTCCATCACTTTGCTGATGACCCAGTGTAAACTGATGGGGCAGTAATTGGCTGAGTTGGACTTGTCTTTGTGTATAAAACATGCTGGGGCAATTTTCCTCCTTGTCAGGTAGATGCCAGTGTAGCAGCTGTACTGGAACAGCATGGCTAAGGGACGCTGCAAGTTCTGGGGCATCAGTATTATTGCCAGAATATTTTCCGGCCTGTAGTTTTTTTGCAATATCTAGTGCCTTCAGCTTTTCTTTGCTATCACATGGAGTCAATCAAATTGGCTGAAAACTGGCATGGTTTTCTCTCTACGGGTTCTCCCAAATCTACTGAGTTTATCCAATACTTTCTGTTTTAACTTAAGCCAGGAATTCAACCCTAGTTCAATGAAAGATGCAAGAGGACATGCTGTGAGCTGCACCATGCATACTTAAAAATGAGGCGTCAACCCAATGAAGCTACGACATAGGACTACTCGCAAGCCAAACAGTGGAAGCAACATGCAATAAACAGAGCTAAGTGGTCCCAAACCAATAGCTCAGATCTAAGTTCTTCAATCTTGTCGCATCCAGTCATAAATACTTATAGGCAATTAAACAACTAGAGGAGAATGCTCCACAAATATCCTCATTCTCAAGAATGGGGGAGTGCAGCATATCAATGCAAATGACAAGGCTGAAGCATTTAGCACATCAAATGATTAATCTTGTCTCCTATGAAGGTCCCTAGCTTCACGGATATCAGTCTTCAACCAATTGAATTCACTTCATATGATATCAAGAAACAGTTGGAGATTGGATTCTGCAAAGCTATGGACCTTGACAACATTCCGATAATACAACTGAAGACTTGTGCTCCAGTGCTAAGCTGTTCCAGTACAGCTATAACACTGGCATCTACCCAGCAATGTGGAAAATTGGGCAGATATGTCTTGTTGATTCTTATCCACAAAAAGCAGGACAAATTCAACTTGGCCAATTAACGTTACTTTATTCTTGATCATCAACAAAATGATGGAAAGGATCATTGACAGTGATATGGAGTGGCACATGCTCTGGTCCAAACATGAACAGAAGATATGAACTTCAGAAAGGAGGTGGGAGTGACTGCCCTTCCTATAAAGGAAGCATTTGACTGAGTGTAGCAGCAAGGAGTTCTAGCAAAACTGGAGCCAATGGGAATCGGGGGAACTCTTGTGATGTAAAGTGTGTGATTTATTGATACTTCAATATCATTAATTTTAGAATTTGTATTTGAGCTAGTGGCATGTTGATTTTGGGGTGTGTCTTTGAAGGACTTTAATGATGAATGTGTCAGTAGTCCTGATGCTGTAGCGATTTCTTAAAAGAAACAGTCTGAGAGAGTTCTTGGAGGCTAATAAGAATTTGTTTTTATTGGGAGCAAATGAAATGAACAGTTGTGCATGAGGCTTTCAGTTTAGAAGGTTCTAGAAATGATTTTTTTTTGCTTGGGGAAATACCAATTGCTTAAAAAATAAATTTTTTAGCTCTAGTTTGAAAATTTTGCAGAAGTCTTGATTAAACCTAGTGGTATAAAACAGTTGTCTCTGAGATGGTGTAGAATGAGCCATGTGCGGGGAGCGAGTACCAGAGCAGCACACGTGGAGCGAGTCCCTGAGCAGTGAGTCCCAGAGCAGCGCGGGGACCGAGTCCCAGACAGAGACCAGTGCAGGGCAGGCAGTCCTGGAACTTACCTTGGAGCCGCTGAGTGCCGGTATGGAGTGGGGACGGTTGTTGGACTGGGGTCTCGCACGGGCAGTCAGACCACGTGCGGAGGTCCTGCACTGGGTTGCTACAATGTAATGTTTATTTGAAACTTTTTACCTTGCTGTAATGTCAACACTCTAACTATATATTATTTCTAACGTATTTTTTAAAACCTGTAAAGTAATGCAACTACTTTTATTTCTCTTTTGTATCCAAGATTTGTGCCTAGCTACTTGTACCTAAGATGGCACCATAAGAGGCAGACGTTATTAAAGCTTTTCACTGTACTCCTGTATTTCTACAATGGGAATACACATGACAATAAAAAGATATTCTGTTAAGAAATAGCTTACCTCAGTGTAAGTAGTTCAGTTTTAAAATTCCAGATCAGAACTGTTTGATTAAAACCCCAAAAGGGTTATCTGAAGTTGAGATAATCAAAGTTCAGTTGTATGAAGGCTCCAGGAAGAGATTATCAGAATCTCTGGTCCAGGGATTGAATCCACAGTTAAACTAACTCCTACAGAAATAGGAAATGACTCTGGTGTGAGTACTGTATTGGAGCATTTTTGAGGTAAATGAGAATGTATCTTACCAAGTGTTTCAAAATCTACAAACTTGCATTTTATGTAAATAGTTTGGTTTATTCTATCATTTTCTTTATTTCTTTAATGTAATAAACCTCAGTTTTATCATTAAAATCAAATCTTCAGCATTTTGTATTTGTGTTTCAATGAAAGACCAACACATCAAAACCAAAAATAAAACAAAATATGATCTATCAAGCCAATTTTCAGTCTAGGATCTGACATGTTCAGTAATAACATCAGCTGGGAACAGAACACACTCTGCTGGTTGGAGTCATACCTGGCCCAAAAGAAGATGGCAATGGTTTTGAAGGTCAATAATCTCAGTCCCATAACATTACAGCAGGAATTCCTCAGGGTAGATTTTTTTTCTACTCAGCCTTTTCAGACATATTATGACACACCTCTGGAGCAAGTGGAACTTGAACCCAGATCTCCTGGCTCAGAGGTATGGATACTACCACTGTGCCACAAGGGCCCTCTAGTTCTTCAGGATAAGTCTTCAGCATGACCATCTTCTGCTGCTTCATCAATAACCATCCCTCCAATATAAGGTCTGAAATGGGGATTGTGCCATCATTAACAAACATGTTCAGCACCATCTGCCACTCTCCAGATACTGAAGCAGTCAGTGTCCACATGCAGCAAAACCCAGACAACATCCATATTTAGGTTGATCAGTGATAAGTAACATTCATACCACATGATTACTAGGCAATGACCCTCTCCAAAAGACACAATCTAATAATCTCACCTTAATGTTCAAAGGTGTTACCATCTCTGAATGGCCCAATATCAACTATGGGAGTTACCATTGACCAGAAACTAAATTGACAAGTTGTGTAAATACTGTGGCTACCAGGTCAGTCATCAAGGCTGTTTTGACAAGATCTTCCAAACTTATGACCACTACTACCTAGAAGGACAAGAACAGTAGATGCATGGGAACACCACCATCTGCAAGTTCCCCTCCAAGCCATTCACCATTCTGACTTAGAACCATATTGCTGTTCCTTCAGTGTCACTGGATCAAAATTTTGAAACTCCCTCTGTAACAGCACTGTGGTTGTCCTTACTCTCTGCCTTCTGCCAGTCAGCCATTCCTCTATTCTTGCGAGTACTTTGCCCCTAATATCATGGACTTTTAACTTATTTAGCAGCGTCTTGTGTGATACCTTGTCACAGGCCTTCTGGAAAATACTTCTGGACTTACCAGATATTGAAACAGTCTGGCTTGTGTCCAGCAAGACTTGGACAAAATTGGACTGACAACTGTCATGTAACATTGCTCGGTAGTTGTGAAGCAGCGATGACCATCTTCAACAAGAGAAAATCTAACCGTCTCCTCTTCACATTCAACAGTATTAAAATCACAGGATCCCCTTCTCCTCAACATTATAGTTAACAGTAAAATGAAGTAGACCAGCCATATAAATTCTGTGATTACAAAAGCAGCACGCAGCTCACATCCTAACTCCCCAAAGTCTGTCCACCATATATGTTAGGTATGTGATAGAATAGAAACCTCTCCACTTGCCTGGATGAATGCAACTCTAACAATATTCAAAACAAAAGTTGCTGGAGAATCTCAGCAGGTCTGTTGAAGGAAAGCAGAGTTAACATTTTGAGCTCCATGACCCTTCTGATAAACTAGTTCCTTTTTCCTGTGGAGGAGAGGTGGTATATGCTTTGCTGTTCCATATGAAATTTGGCATCCTGGTGTCTGTCCTGAAGAGTGCAAGACATAAAGATGTGACACGTTTACTTCAGTAATAGTCTGTTAAGTTAGTTGAACGCAATTTGGCTTTAATAAACCCATGCTGGCTTTCCTCCATTAATCCATAATTGTTCAAGCAACTGTTAATTTTGCCCCTTAGAAATTAAGATGACAGATTACCTGAATTACAATATCTGAACTTGTCTTCACAATTATTACTGCAAATTTGGGTTAACCCCTGCCTAAATAACCTGTGTGCGTATTTTCATTTTCTCTTTTTTTTTCTCAGAACCATTTAAACTGTTTCCAGCTATTCGAGAACTGGATCTCACAATGAATGGTCTGCAGAAAGTGCAGCTGATCTCAGACGATTTCCCTCACTTGGAGGTAAGTTATTCAGTTTAGATTGGTGCCTGATAGTCACAGGAATTGCCCACCAGGCTTACAGGTAAAGTTTGTTGGATGCAACTCCAGTGCCAAGTGTCAATAGGAGTTTTTGAGCAGTTTTGTATATAGTGTTGATCTCCCTATTTAAGATGTACAGTTAGGAAAGATGTTGAAAGCAGTTCAGCGAAGATTTACAAGACTAATACCTGGAATGGGCAGGTTGTCTTGACACAACAGATTGGAAGAGTCCTACCCGAAACGTCAGCTTTCCTGCTCCACTGATGCTGCCTGGCCTGCTGTGTTCATCCAGCTTTACACCTTGTTATCTCAGATTCTCCAGCATCAGCAGTTCCTACTATCTCTAGGCTTGTATCTGGTGGTTTTTGGAAGAACAAGAGGTGACTTAATTGAAACATATAAGACTTTGAAGGGTTTTGACAGGATTGATGCGGAGAGAATGCTTCCACTTGTGGGAGAACCTAGAATTAGAGGCCATTGTTTCAACAATAAAGGGTTGCCCATTTATGACAGACATGAGGAGAAATGTTTTCTCACAGAGGGATAGTGAGTTTTTCGAATTTTCTTCCTCAACACAGTGGAAGTCAAGTCTTTGAATATTTTTAAAGTGGAATAGATAGATTCTTGCTAAACAAGGGTGTGAAGCGTTATCAGGGTGGTTGGGAATGCAGAGAAATCAGATCAGCCATGATTTTACTGAATGGTGAAGCAGACTCAAGGAACCGAGTGGCCTACTACTGATTTGTATGTTTGTATGTAATTTTTCTGGATTTCTCCCACATCAAATGCAAGCCTTTCAATCCAAATATTCAAGGCAGCCAGGCCAATAACTTCTTTATTCTCTCTGTACCATTCTTGTTATAATCTCAGTAGATCTTTTTAAAATATTACTTCCAGTGCCACGTGCTAGCAACAGCAGGAATAAGAGAATAGATCATTAGTATTAGATGAATGTGTGGCTGGAGGAATGGTATACCAGGGAGGGGTTTAGATTCTTGAGGCATAGGGACCCATTTATGGGGAAGGGGAACCTGTACAAGCCTGATGGGTTGTACCTGGGTAGAGCTGGAACAAACATTCTTGCGAGTGCTTTTGCTAATTCCGTTGGAGGGGTTTTAAACTAGTATGGCAGGGGGAATGGGATTTAAAGCATAGGTTTAAATAGGTCAGATTCAGATCAGAAACAAGAGGATTAGTATTATTATGGAAAAGGTCAGCGCTAAATAAGGAGTAAAAGTTTTAAACTTGAAGAAGACAAATTTTACAAAACTGAGAAATATTTGCCTGAGGTTGACTGGACAGGACTGTTAAAGGATAAATCAGTGTGAGGCACTAAAAAGTGAGATCCTTAGGGCACAAAGCAGACATGTCCCCTCCAGAAATAAGAATGGTACAGCCAAATCTAGACCCCATGGTTGTCTAGAAAAATACAGGAGATTATTAAACAGAAAAAGAAAGCATATGATATTCTCAGTTAGTGGTAGAGGCAGGGAAACTAAACTCTTTGAAAAGTACCTGGATCTGCATGATAAGTGCTGTAAGCTGTAGAGCTATGCACCATGTGCACAAAGGTGGGATTAGAAAGGGCATCTGGGTGTCTTTGGGAAATGGAAAAGATTAGCCGAATAATGGCCCCCTTTTGTGCTGTATCATTTCTATGGTTCTAAGGGAAAGTTGAGCTTCCAGGTATTGGCTCAAGGGATGACCCATCAGGATTTCATGTTTTGAAAAAATATTATTTTATCGAATGACTAAAGAACACTATTGACTAAACACCATTATCACTTGTAGACAGCTTATACTATAAAATCTAGAAACGTTTTACTTATCACACATCACATTCTCCATAGTTACAGTTTTTGTAGCAAATAATTCAGTTTCATTCAGCTTAGAAAGATCTTTCATGTGAGGATTATATTGTAAATTGATTTCTGTAGCTTAGTGCTAAAAGCTAGAGTAAAAGGGTGGCTAGGTCCCTTTAAAGATCAGCATGGTGTGGAGCCACAGGAGATGGGGGAGATTTTTAATGAATATTTCTCCTCAGTCTTTACTGAGGAGAGAATCATGGATGCTGAGGAAATAAGGGAAGTAAGTGGGGATGGTTTGGACCACACACATATTACCAGAGAGGAGGTGTTTGCAGCCTTAGATTGCATTAAGGTGGATAAATCCCCTGGGCCTGATCAAGTCCATCCTCACAAATTGTGGGGCTAGGGAAGAAATTGCAGGCATCCTTGCAGAGATTTTTGTTTCATCTTTAGCCACTGGTGAAGTTCCGGAAGACTGGAAGGTGGCTAATGTTGTTCTATTGTTTAAGAAAGGTAGCAAAGATAAGCCAGGAAACTACAGGCCAGTGAGCCTGACGTCAGTGGTAAGCGAATTATTGAACAGGATACTGAGGGACAGGATCAACCAACATTTGGATAATCAAGGTCCGATTAGGGATAGTCAGCATGGATTTGTGCATGGGAAGTCATGGCTGACAAATCTTTTAGAGTTTTTCGAACAGGTAACCAAGAAGATAGATGAAGCTAGGGCAGTGGATGTTGTCTATATGGACTTTAGTAGGGTCTTTTACAAGGGCCCACACAGCAGGCTAGTCATGAAGGTTAGGTCACATGGGATCCAGGGAGAGGTAGCTAATTGGATTTAAAACTTGCTTGATGGTAGGAAGCAGAGGCTGATAGTTGAAGGTTGTTTCTCGGTCTGGAGGCCTGTGACTAGTGGTGTGCCACAAGGGTCGGTGCTGGGACCTTGGTTATTTATTAGTTACATCAATGATCTGAAAGTGAATGTACAAGTCATGATTATTCAGTTTGTGAATGATACAAAGTTAGGAGGTATAGTTGATAGCGAGGAAGGTTATCAAAAATTACAGAGGGATCTTGATCAGATGGGGAAGTGGGCTGAGATTGGCAAATTCAATTCAAACAGATATGTGTGAGGTGTTGCACTTTGGAAAGTCAAACCAAGATAGGACTTATACAGTAAATGGTAAGGTCCTGAGGAGTGTTGTGGAACAGAGGCATCTAGGAGTACAAATACATAGTTAATTGAAAGTGACGTCACAGGTAGACAGGGTGGTGAAGAAGGCATTTGGCAGGCTGGCACTGGTTGAGGAATAGGAGTTAGGACATTATGTTAAAGTAGTATATAGTTCTAAGGGAAAGTTGAGCTCCAGGTATTGGCTCAAGGGATGACCCACTTTTGGTCACCGTATTATAGAAAAGCTATAGTTAAAATGGCAATTGTGCAAAGAAGATTTATGAGGATATTGCCAGGACTAGTAAGCCTGAGTTATAGGGAGAGGTTGGCCAGGATAGGACTTTATTTTTCAAATGTAGGAGATTGAGGGGTGACCTTACTGAGGTGTATAAAATCATGAGGGGCATAGATAGGATGAATGCATATAGTCTTTTTCCCAGGGATGGGGAATTGAAAACTAGAGGGTATAGGTTTAAGGTGAGGGGGGAAAGATTTAAGAAGGACCTGAGGGACAATGCAGAGAGTGGTGTGTTTACGGAATAGGCTGCCAGAGAACGTGGATGAGGCAAGTACAGTAGCAACATTTTAAAAAAAACATTTGGATAGGTACATGAATGAGAAGAGTTTAGGGGGATGTGGACCAAATGTGGGCAGTTGGAACTAGCTGAGTAGGCACCATGGTCAGCATGGCCCAGTTTGGGCCGAAGGACCTGTTTCCATGCTGTATTACTCTATGACTCTATAAATCTTACAGTCTCTTTTCCTCTGTTTCTATGTTTCTAGGGAAATCTGCAACCTGATGTCAAAATGGCATCCCCATCCTCTTCTCCATGGCAACAGGAAACATGTTAGTCTTGTACTTTAATAGAAATGCTGATCAGCTACCTTTGATCTTAACTTCCTTTCATCTTCAAAGTAAAGGGATAATTTAAGCATGACTATTTACAGCTTGTGACTTATAACACCTTTCTGGTACTCTAGGAGACTTTGGATCTACTGGATGTTGACCTAGAAATAGCTGTCATTGTCTCCAAATGTAAATATGTGACACCTCCTTTACAGTGAAACCTGGTCCTCCTTTCACCCCAACAATCAAACTGCCTAGACTTTACTCAGACAGACTCCAATACGTTACATAACCCCTTTCATTTACCATAAATTTAAAGATAGAGATCCAAACGCTTAGAAACCAAAGATATAGTCCAAAAACATCACAATCTTGTACATTTCACAATTGTAACACAATAAGGATTGTCTCTTCTTCTCCTTGTAACTGTAAATTTGTGTTCATATGTTTCAGGTGCTGAATCTGTCCTATAACAAACTGTCTAACACGGACATTCTGACACTGGGGATCATTCCTCAACTCAAAATTCTCCACCTGACTGGCAATAATCTGGACTCATTTCCCCCAGATCTAACAATACCCTATGATGCCTTGGATCGGTATGTGTGCAGAGAAAGGTTAAGGGGTAAAAATGGGGTGTGTGGTGTGTCTTTTAATGGTGGTGTTCAGATTATGGAAGGTTTTAGTAGATTAAATAAGGAAAAATATTGAAGATCATCAGTCTGGTTTGATGTATACAAAGTTCACTGACTATTTCTTATCACTTTGTGTGTGTGTGTGTATGCGCGCATGTATGCAGGCTTGAGAACCCTTTGCCGAGGTTTTCTGCACTTGAGGTTCTGATGTTGGACGATAACAGCTTATCTGACCCCTGTGTGTTTTCGAGTCTGGCCAATATTCACAGGTAAGGTTAATCATTGCATCAGCAATCAAACTCCTTCCTTCTGTCTTGCAGAATATTATGCTTCCAGACCTTGCTGGTAGAGTGTAGTTAGCAGGCTTTATTCACAGACGGATGACAGATAAATACCATGTTGAGAGATTATAGCATTTCAATTTTATCAGGCTGGAATTTAATGCCCTTTGCCTCCAGAGGCAGGTTCAGGAGCCAAATGGCTCAGGGGAGGGTGACTGATGTAATTGGGTGGGAGGCTGCAGAATGAAAATCTTCCTGTCTTTCCATCTACATCTGATGAAATCAGGAGGGGAGGGGAGTCTCAAAGGCAGCTATCCTACCCAGACAGGAGTGGTTTCCTAAAGGACGCCATCTAAGGGTCTCATCCCACTGCCACTAAACTTCTTGCCACCCAGGCAAAATGTACAGCAACTGTCCATGATGAAGATGGTGAGGAGATCTCTTGCACTTAGGTACCATGTGCCCAATCAAGGGAACCAGCATCAGAAAAGGGTGACCCTACAATCCCCACCCTCCCAGTGTCCATCTCCCTGCAACCCCATCCCAATTTAACTTTCTCTGGAGCTTCCATTGGCCCAACTGCAGTCCCAGTAGTAGCCAACATGCCCGGTGGTACTTCCAGCCTCTGATTGCTCAGTAGCTGCCGTGATCTTCACCCTGCACCCTTTTGTTTTCTTATGCAGAGAAATCATAAAGTTACTATTTTCTACACCAGACTGTTCTGTGATCTTGTGGAGCTGAAGGCCTTAGCAGGACGTGGGGGATTTCCTGCTACTAGGAAGCCACATCATTCCATCAGGGCTCCCAGAGATTGAATCTGGGAGGTGCCACCTCATTTTGTTTCAGAGCTTGAGCCCTTCGTTGTGCACATTAAATTTCTGCAGGTTCACTAACTTGTGGAAACCATGCACCTTTATGCAACTAGCTTTGTCTACTTCAACCACACAAGATAAATGTTATGTTTCAGGAAGGATAGGAAGCTGCAGTGGTTAACAGTGACAAGAGCTTTATTAAGGAGATGTTCACTAGATAAGGCAGCAAGCCTGACCAACATCTTTCCTACCAAAATGGCTGATGATGTCATAATGACATCATGTGATAGTTTAATATACTTACGTAAATACACAACAGTAAGATCTCATGATTGGTTTCTTTCTGAATCCTTTGAGGACAAGTTTTGTGAATAAGTTACCTTCCTAAACATCCTCTCAGTAACTATACTTAACTGAACCCTCTGTCTATGTTTGTTACACCAGCCTAAAATTATACTATGATCACTTATGGTCAATGCTGTCCCTGTCCCTCATTTCCATGCATTAGCTCTGGAACTGAACAAGCACTGAACATTTTATCAGATAGCACTAGAATTATCCTGCTAGGCACTTAACATCTAGATGAAAATGATATCTTTAGTTCACTGTTCCAAATAACTTTCTGACCTCCTTAAAAACATTACCTTTGCAGCACTATCACTACACATCTATTTCACCTTTACTTTAAAATCTAAATTCCCAGATGTTAATAACACACACCTTTATCACAATGTATATAAAAACACGGCAGTCCTTGCATAATTCTTGGGAATGCCACTGTCCTGCAAACTTTAAAACAACTGTTCACCATGACTTGCTGATTTCTGTCCTTTATCTCTTTTTTATCTTCCTATTCCTTAAACCCCAATTTTGTTCACAAGTCTTTTTGTGTTACTTTGTCAGAAGTTTTCTTAAAATCCATTGAGTCAAAATCCACTGCTTTCCCTTCATCAGCCTTCTCTATTACAACATCAAACTTTCAATTAGATTTGTCAAGGGACATGATCGTTTTTAAGAATAAACCATCTTTTCTCCTGTGTGCTATCATGTTTAACTTAGAAAGCATAATCATCAATTATTTACATATCTTGTTCATAGGAAAATGCATTATTCATCAGGTGAATGAGAAGGAAGTATGTTCCTGGAGAGTCAACAGGGATGTAGTGTGAAGGTTAATGTATAGGATTAGTCTATCAAAACATATGTAGGATAGGAGTTGCGGAAGTGAGGGTGGTGATGGGTAGTTGTGGGTGTTACTTTTAATTGCTGCTCCCTGTTCTTAAGAAGTATGAATGGGTCAATTTTGAAACGAGATCAGAAAACTAAATCCAATGTGGTTTGTGTGAGGAAAAACTAGATAATGTAGACTGTTTTATTTTCTCCAGAACCGAAGGATAGGACCTGAGCCTGAGAATAATCTGTAGAAAGCAATATTTCAGTGAGTGAGTGATGTATTGTTCAAATTAAAATTATACATACGTAATTCAGAAAATAACATTTTGTTACATGGCCTATGAGTAAGTTGAGGTGTAGTGAGTGTACTCTGCTTGAAATAAACAGGTGACGTTAGACCAATGGTTCACAAAGCACTCCTTTCTTGGAATTTTCCTCACCTCATATCTGGATCTGTTGTAGACTCATTAATAAGACATTGATCTCTGTAGTTAGTCAGCAACTCCTTTTATCATTGTATCAAGTGACTGCTTGATTGCAGAAAGAGAAGTAGACTTTTTTGTCATCCAGTAAATCCTGTATTTCAAAGAGAGAGGATCACAGAGAGATTAGTCAAACCAAATCCTTTCTTCACCACTCCAATGGGCAGTTCCAAAAGATCCCCATTCTCCTAGCCTTGTACATCTTCACAAGCAGGAGGTGAGTAACTAGTTGAGAAAAGAGAAATGGAGGTCTCTCTGTTCCAAGGCACCAATCCTCATTATGCATCATCATTTCTTGTCATTGAATTACCTGACCTTCAGTGTAGGGCTGAACATTTCACTTTTGGTTTCTCAATAAAATTGTCACCTGCCCCTCCCACACCACCCCTCCTGCCCCACCAACCCCACCGCAAAGCTCACCCTTTAATCCACCTGCAATATTGTACCTTACCAGTGTTTTCTTTTTCAATGTTATATAGCTTAAAGTACTTAAACCTCGACAAGAACAACTTCACTGGGGTTCCCTACCTGCAGCAGATGGCACTGTCGCTGCTGGAGAGGACTGAAGATGATCCACTTTGCCGGTCCATTGTCAACCAATTCAAACAGCCCATTCAATGTCCAAAAGGGGAGGAAATGGAGACTATTGAGTTTCAAACTGATGTTGAAGCCAGCAGAGAAAAGCTAAAAATGACTGAAACAAAGGAGAAAACAGTGGAAGAGATAGGAAAGAAGATGGAAGAGTGGGAAAATAATGTTACTGATGGTGGGTTTATTTTACAATTTGTTTTTCATCCCTTTCCCTAAATATATGACCACAGATGATGGCTGCCTTCTGATAGCAGAGTGAGCCTGGAAGAGAAGGATTGTCAGAGATGATTTGACAGTGGGAGGCCAGTCCACTTGCCCTTACCCAAAGTCCACTGTCTGCACTTTATAACACTAGATAAGGGACAAGAGTCAGGGTTGTCCAAAATCCTACAGCAACACTCCAGATGTTTTTACACCATTTAGGACAAAGTTCATTTGATTCAGATCCTATCCGCCCCTGGCTGCAACATTACTGCAATGTGTACAAACCACAGAATGCATTGCAGCAACTCACCAAGGCTGCTCTGATGGAAATCATGAATCTGTGCCCACCACCTCCTTGGCAAACAAGAGCAGCTGGTGCATGAGAGCACAGCTACTACCAAGACCTTTCAGGTAACTCACCATGATGACTTGGACATGTATTAGTCCTTCGTTTGATTGTCAGAGTCGTACAGTTATATAGCAAGGAAACACACCCTCGGTCCAACTTGTCCATGCCAATCAGACATCCCAATCTGACCTACTCCATTTGCCGGCATTTGGCTCATATCCCTCTAAACCCTACCTATTCATGTACCCATCCAGATGCCTTTTAAATGACATAATTGTGCTCACCTCCACCACTTCCTCTGACAGCTTGTCCTATACATGCAGCTGAGCTCATGATCGAACTGCACTTTTGCCATACAGGGACAGGCAATGAATAACAACGTGTAAAAGCTACCTCTGAAGAATGAATTTGACATGTCCCAGAGCATTAAACACTGGTCCAACGTCCCATTGTGGGTTAGATGGCCGTGTAGAAAAGTGGGGGGTATTTAATCAAGCAGAAGTATGGCATTGAGTGTCCACTGGCTCCCGGCATCCAAATAGATTAAGTCAGTGGTGGGAGGATTTATGGACTGTCACTACCACTTCCACCCCCAGCAAAAGCATCTCAATTTCACTGGTATGAATAGAGCAGCAGGCTGGAGACTCGCCATGCATGGAGGGGGCACCCAAACAAGTTTGGGGTTGCTTTCAGGTTTCTGAGGTTTAGGAGGGTTACCCATCATTCAACAGCACTCAGTGCCTAATTGCGGGATCCAGTAGCAGGAAGGTTTTTTGGCGACAGACTGCAGCTTCTGTGCTGAGTGTCATCCCCCTGTGTTTGCTGCAAAACCAACCTTAGTCCTCCAATGAATCCAACCCCTCAAAAGCACCCCCAATCCTACAAGCTATTATTCATGTGGCCTGGGATCCAGTGATGATCCTATATCTCTGGTGGATGCCATACTGTCTGTAGTCAGTAGCTGCCCAGTGACAAAGCCATTCAACAAAGCCGCTGGACTGGTTGCTCTTGGTAAGTAGGGTGTCTTTCCCTAGGGTTTTTAATACCAGTAAAGGCCTTCAGTGGCCTGTCAAGTGTTTGAGGGGAAAATGATTTAGCAGGCCTTCTGAAAAGAGGGCATGGGGGATTTTGGTTGTGGCACCTACACAAGATTCTGCATGTTGAGTTCAATACCATAGTGTCCATTTATAAAGCCCTCGCATTACCACTGAAGCATCAAATTGCAAAGTATTTTAGATCCTGGTCCTCTGCCTTCCATCCTCCTTTCTTCCTATGACAAAAGGACTTCCAGCCAGCACAATCCCTTATTCTACCATTTTCTTCAATTACAAATACAAAAGTATGAGAGAGCATACAATCAAAACTGAGGGAGTGCTGCACTGTCACAGTATCAGTACTGAGAGAGTGCCGCACTGTCAGAGGGTCAGTACTGAGGGACTGCTGCATTGTCGGAGGGCCAGTACTAAGAGAGCTGGTGTTGTTTGAGGGTCAGTGCTGAGACAGTTGGTGCAGTCTGAAAGTCAGTACTGACGGAGTGTGGAGTTGTCTGAGGGTCAGCACTGAGGAGGTGCTACACTGTCATAGTGTTAATACTGACAGAGTGCTGTTCTGTCAGAGGATTGGTACTCAGGGAGTGCTACACTATCAGAGGGTCACAACTGAGGGACTGCTACACTGTCAGAGGGTCAGTGCTGAGGCAATGCCGCGCTGATGATGGGTTAGTACTGAGGAAATGCTGCACTGATGGTGGGTCAGTACTGAGGGAATGCTGCACCGATGGTAGGTCCGTACTGAGGGAATGCTGCACTGATGGTAGGTCAGTACTGAGGCAGTGTGGAGCTGTCTGAGGGTCAGCACAAAAACCCTCCAGTTTTGGTAACATCCTTGTAAATCTTTTTTGCACCCTTTTCAGTTAATAACATCCTTCCCATAATAGGATGACCAGAATTGTACGCAGTACTCCAAATGTGGTCTTACCAGTGTCTTGTACAGGCATAACATATGTCCCAACTCCCGCACTCAATGCTGTTACCGATGAAGGCAAGCATGCCTTCTTCACCACCCTGTCTACTTGTGATGCCACTTTCAAGGAACTATGTACATGGACCCCAGGGCCCTACAATTAACAGTGTAAGTCCTTGCCCTGGTTTGTCTCACCAAAATCAACACTTGGCAGTTATCTAACTTAAACTCCTTCTGCCTCTCCTCGGCCCACTGACCCAGTTGGTCAAGATCCCAGTGTACTCTTAGGTAACCTTCTTCACTGTCACTATACCACCTATTTAGGTGTCATCCGCAAACTTACTCACCATTCTTCCTATATTCTAATCCAAATCATTTATATAAATGATGAAAAACAGTGGCACTGATCCTTGCAGCACATCACTGTTCGCAGGCCTCCAGTCTGAACAACAATCCTCTGCCACCATCCTTTGTCTGCTATGGTCAAGCCAATTTGTACCATATGGCTAGTTTTCCCTGGATCCCATGTGATCTAACCTTACTAACCAGTCTACTATGAGGAACCTTGCCGAAGGCCTTGCTAAAGTCAATCAAGACAATATCTAACCACTCTGCCTTCATCTTATCTTCTTGGTCACTTCTTCGAAAAACTCAATCAAGTTTGTAGGACACAATTTCCCATGCACAAAACCATGCTGACTATCCCTAATCAGTCCTTACTTTTCCAAAAAGTATGTATATCCTGTCTCTCAGAATCCCCTCCAACAACTTTCTCATTACTGATGTCAGGCTCACTAGTCTGTAGTTCCCTGGCATGTCCTTGCAGACTTCTTAAGTAATGGCACAACATTAGCTCCCTCTAGTCTTTCAGCACCTTACCCATGGCGTCGACGATACAAATATCTCCGCTAGGGGCACAGCAATCTCTTCCCTAGCTTCCCACAATGACCTGGGATACCCTTGATCAGGTCCCAGGGGTTTATCTACATTTATGCTTTAAGATGCCCACCACCTCCTCATCTCTGATGTGGACTGTTTTCAAGACAACACTATTTATTTCGCTGAGTTCCCTAGCTTCCATGTTTTTTTCCATAGCAAATACTGACGTGAAGTATTTGTGTAGGATCACATCCATCTCCTGTACAATTGCAGCTCCAACAACAATCAAGAAGCTTGACATCATCCAGGACAAATCAACCCCCTTAATTGTCACCACATCCACAAATACCCACTTCTTGCACCATGAGCTCAGTAACATCAGTGTGTACTATCTACAAGATGCACTTCAAAATTAGACAGCACCTTCCAAAGCCAGGACCACTACCATCACAAAGGACAAGGGCAGCAGATACATGGGAACACATGTATGTGCAGGAACTCCTGGGTCAAAATCCTGGAATTCCCTCACTAAGGGCATTGTGGGTCAACCTACAGCACTTGGACTGCAAGAGTTCAAGAGGGCGGCATGGTGGCTCAGTGGTTAGCCCTGCTGCCTCACAGAGCCATGGACCCAGGTTTGATTCCACCCTTGGGTGACTGTCTGTGTGGAGTGTGCATATTCTCCCCATGAGTTTCCTTGGGTGCTCCGGTTTCCTCCCACAGTTCAAAGGTGTGCAGGCTAGGTAGATTGGCCATGCTAAATTACCTGTAGTGTTCAGGGATGTGTAGATTAGGGTTATAGGGGGATGGGTCTGGGTGGGATGCTCTGAGGGCAGTGAGCACTTGTTGGGCCGAAGGGCCTGTTTCCACACTGTAGGGATTCTATGATCTCTATGATGATCTCAGAAGGCAGCTACCCACCACCTTCTCAGGGGCAACAAGGGATGTGCAATAAATACTGGTCCAGCAAGGGATGCCCACATCCCATGAAAAAATTTTTAAAAGGTGAGCTTGTCATTGGTGAGAATTTGCTATGTCTTTCCGAATTTCTGTGTTATTTTGAGGACACTTCAGAAAACGATACTTGATTAGTCATAAAGTGCTTTCTGACAAAATGAGTTTGTGAAATGTGAGTCTGTGTTTCTTTCTGTCTAACTTTGCATTTAAAAGCTTATTCATGTTCTCTGCATTTTCTTTAGTGACCTTCACTCACAGTGACTCGGAGTCAAATATTCCCTTTCCCGCTATGCAGGTAAGATATCCTGAGTGGGAGGCAGGGCATATTGTTGGGTGTTTAAATTTCTTAAGAATGGTTGTGGTAGCTTCATATTTTGGCACTCTCAAGGACTGCAGCAGATCAAGAAAGCAACTCACCACCACATCCCATGGACTAATATAAAAAATATAAAAGAAACTCCCAGCAGGAATCAGGGACTTTGTAGAATGCAGTTTTCTGAGGTGTGCTCTGCTCAGGAGTTTAATTTACACAATCTTCCGCCCAGTATTATAATCTTTCAAAGCAAAATGAATGTAGGCACCACCACCTGCAAGTCCTCCTCCAAGCCATTCAACATTCTGACTTGGAAATCTATCGTCCTGTTCCCTCACTGAACTGTGGGGTCTGTTGTGATGGATTGCCTCACTTCCGGGTTTCCTCCGTAGTGGAATGTATATGTATTCCATATGTATATACCCCAGAGTTTAAAAACCAGGCGGGAAAACACACACACGCTTCATCGGAGGCTGCACTGAGGATGTTACCAAGCATGGTAATGAAACGTCTGCGGAACAACAAACCAGCTCGGCGAGCCAACCAACCTCAACACCCACAACCCGAGCTGCAGATCTACTCCAAAACCTTGGAGACAGGTAGATGTCTGGCACCAAGAGGCCATTTTGTCCAGTGTGTCTGCACTGGCTTATAAAGAGCTGTCTGTCCTATTCCCACTTTCAGGCATGCTCCATAACGCTGTAGGTTATGACATCTCAGGTGCATTTCCAAATTTTCTTTTAATGCAACGAGAGTTTCTATCCCATCCCACTTTCTGAGCTCCAGACCCATACCACTCTGTGAGTGAACAAATTACTCCACAATTTTCCCCAATTCTTCGACCAACTCCCCTGTTATTGCCCTCTCACTTAGTAGAAACATATTCTTTCTACTCACTCTATGTTTCACCCTTTCATAATTTTACACGTCGTAATTCAATCTCCCTTCAGCCTCTTTTCATTCATAGAGACCAACCTTAACTTACTCAGTCTTTCCTCATCGCTACAATTCTCCATTCCTGACAGTGTCAAATCTCCTCTGTGCTCTCCCTAGTGTAATCACAACCTTCCTGTATTCCAACGGTGAAGACTGTACACAGTGTCACAAGCCATTTTGGAAAGTGCACTCATACTTGAGTTCCACTATTCCTGGAATCATCACAAAAGGTAAAATTTAATCGACGTATTCAAAGTCCCCAACTTACCGGTCTGATGGATTCAGCGTAACAGAGAACACTAACTAGGTTTCTGTACTTAACAAGAAACTACTATTTGTTACAAACAAATCAACTCTAACTACAGGAAAACAAAAATATGAATATCAACATCACTGTTCTAGATAAAACTATAACCCCCTTCTTAAATCCTTATGTACCCATGCAGACAGACACAAACAAACAAATATGGGTGCAGGAAAAAATTACTGGGGGACATATTTTGATGACAGCTTTGTTCTTCGATTTCCTTATTTCAGATGCTTTTATTATTTGCGGAAGACACAGGGTAATTGGCATACTAATTGTGAGTCTTGTTGTTTAGAGGTAACAACTTACAGGAAGTGTGAGAGAGAATATTCAGCTGTCCTCCAGACTTTGGTTACTTCACTCCAAGTTGAGAGAGAGATAGAAAGCAACCTTGTTTTTCTGCAGTCTGGAGGCTTCTCCTCCTGTATTGTAAGCACTTAAGCTTTTCATCTGCTCAGGAACCAATCAGAGAGTTGCTGTCACTCTGAAGAAGAGTCATATTGGATTCAAAACATTGACTCTGTTTCTCTCTCCGCAGATTCTACCAGAATGCTGAATTTTTCCAACACTTTTTGCTTTTATTTCAGATTTACAGCATTGGCATTTTGCTTTTATTGTGATACTAGTTATGATTGAAGTGGTGTATAATGTTCATTTTTAGGATGTTTGAACAAAATCAAAATTATTCTCCTCTCTTTCCTTTGTTTCAGGGGCAAGATAGTTTGGAAGAATTGCTACAGCCTCCCAAAATAAAACCAATGTGTTTTCTGAAACAGAAGAATGAGTTTCTCCCTCCATTCTCAGGGCTGAGTCACCTCAGCCTTGCAAAAAATAAGGTAATGTCTAGATTCCATTTCAGTTACTCTCATTCCCCTTTGTCCTTTAGTTTTTCCCTCAGTTATCTGATTGCATACATGAGGATTGATGGCAAGAATTACAGTCAACTCCCTAATTCTACCCATGGTAAGTTGCTACAGACAAACGATGATTGTGGGCCACCAAGTTGCATCAGAATAATTCTGGACATTTGAGATCTAGATTTATTGTAATTCACACTGCAGCTGTTTCAGTTTAATGTGACACTTTCCAACTTGGAGAGTTAGTGGATCATTGATATAAGGATCAACATGTACAGTCAATCATTGGATTATGGATTTTTTTCTTCACTGACAACTGAAAGAGATAAAAACGCCACAAGCAGGTACAACAGTGCCAACAGCCAACCCCTGAGAACAGTCTCTCTCTCTCTCTCTGTCTCTCTCTCTCTCACTCACTCACACACACACACACACACACACACACACACACACACACACAGAGTTTTTGATATATGGCACCTGTATTTGTTCTATGTAATAAAATATATTAAAGTACAACATACTGATGATCCTTCAAGAGCTCATATCCAGTCTTCTGGTCCTAGCTGGTGTAATCGGTGAAGTAAGGAAGTTACGATCACCTGAAGAATTCTTTTGATTTAGAGTTAGAGATGAGCAGTAAATGCTGGCCTAGCCAATGATGCCTACATCCCATGAGCAAATAAACAAAATTAATATAGATACCTATAACTCATACAGACTGTGTGTAATGGGAGATAGTAGGAACTGCAGATGCTGGAGAATTTTTTTCTGATGGAGGGTCCAGGCCCAAAACGTCAACCTTTCTGCTCCTATGATCCTGCTTGGCCTGCTGTGTTCATCCAGCTCTGCACCTTGTTGTCTCTGTGTATAATGGGGTTTGTTTTATTATGTCATTGACCTGATTTAGTTGGGTCTTAGCCAGATATTTCAATCTTCCTAGTCCTCCAAATTGGCAAGGAGAGTAGTTTCCTGCTAAAAATAAAATAAGATACAAAAGTGAGTTCTGCCCCCAAAACCTCTTGTTCTGTTTTTGAATTCAGTTGTAATGGGACAGGAAATGTATCTGAACTGTTGCAGTTTATGAATCCATGGAACCATTATTTCAGTGACCAAATGGTCAACCTGTAGAGCCAGTTCACTATTTATTATTACATGGATTAGGTGTCACTGGTAAAATGAACATTTGTTTCCCATCCCCTAATTGCCTTTGAACTGAGGGGCATTGCTAGACCATTTCAGAGAGCAGTTAATGTGGGACTCTGGAATACTAGTCCAGTGAAATTAACACTGCAACAATACCTCCCCCAATTGAATAGCTGTTTCAAAGACCCAGCACAGGAATGATGAGCCAAGCGGACTCTTTCCAGTCTTTGAAGCAGCTTTAGTTGCCCTTCCCTATTCAGCTGCTAAACTGAGCCAGAAAGATGTCGGGATGGGGAGGACCATAAGGTGAAAACCCTGTAGACTCCAGATTCAGGGTATTTTCCTCATGCACAGCTAAGCCTTGGACATCACTGGGACAGTGCCAGGTGGAAAAACACATGGAAAGACTGCACATAACAAATGGGTCCCTTTTATTTTTTGCTTATATGCTTTCTGTTGTAGATAACGGATGACGAGGAACTGTTAGCTGTTTGTCTCTTTCCGGCACTCAACAAACTGACCATCTACAAAAATCCTGTTGCCTGCTACTCCGGTACTGCATCTTGTTGCTGCAGCCATTTATCCTCTTGAGTTAATGGGATCTTCATACAGATGCACAGCAAGTACCAAGACATGAGATTTCAATTCTTACCCCCCGACTATAGACAAGCTGTTTATTTCTTAGAAATTAAAGCACTATCAATCACACAATTTTTGTTATCACCAGCAAACTTCTTAATCATGACATCATACATTTAAGTCATTGATATGGAAAGCAAGGCATTAAGTTTCAAGTCCTGTAGAACTCCATTGGAAATTACCTTCCAGTCATAAAAATATCCATTAACCATTGCATATTGCTTCCAGTTGCTGAGCCAATTTTGGATTCAACGTGTTATTTGACCTCAGACTTTTATGTTCGTGTACGTGCTGGTGTTGATACTTCACATGAGCCTTCCCCCCGTATCCTTCTGTCACTCCTTCTGTTCCTTTCCCTCTCACGGGCTTACTTCCTTGAATGTACCTTTACTCTTTACCTCAGCTATTCCTGTGGTTAACAAGTTCCACATTCTCACCACTCTGAGTAAAGACATTTCAGTTGGTATTATTAGAGACTGTCTTATATTGATGGCTCTGTTTTTATATTTTCTAACGCACACCTTTGAAGAAGATGGGACTTGAAACCAGACCTCCTGACTTAGAAGCAGGGACATGATCACTGCTGCACAAGAGCCCACGCCCACTGGTTGTGGTTTTGGTTTCACGTGTTTTACATAAATTGTTAAACTTCCAAAAAAAATTGAATGGCAATAAGGATGTCCTGAATTAAGTTCCACTTTGAAGTGTGTACATATTTGAGGCAAATGGTCCACAGTGCAGTACTGAACAAGGGAGTTTTGCACTGTTAGAAGGACAGTCTAATTTTAATTCCATGGAATGTGACCATCACTGGCAAGGCCATAATTTGTTGACCATCTCTAATTGCCCTTGACAGCAACCAGACTGATAAGAACAGCAGATTTTCTGCCCATAAAGGTTCTTGCTGGTGAACCAGATGGGATTTTACTACTGGTAAAGTTTCATAGTCATCTTTACTAGCATTACCTGTCAATCCCAGTTTTTTTTTCATGATGAAATTTAAACCTCTCTCCCCAGACAATTAATCCTGGCTTCTGGATCACTAGTGCATTGACATTAGCATGACTTCCCTACTCCACTGATGGATGGGCAGGGAGTTCGGCACTGTTGGAGATTCAGTACTGAGGCATCACTAGACTTACGGTAGGGCAGTTGAGAGACTCTGCACTGTTGGAGGGTCAGTTAGGAGGAAACTGCACTGTCGACGGAGTTACTGAAGGAGCACATAACTGTCAGAGAGTCAGTACTGAGCTATTCTGCACCGTTGGAACTGAGGGTGTGCCCTGTTGGAGGGTCAGTACTGAGGGAATAGTGCAGCTGAGGTACTGAGGGACTGCTGCACTGTTGGAGGGGCAGTAGTGAAGGATTGTTGTACTGTCAGAGAGGGTCTGTACTGAGATGCACTGCACTGTCAGAGGGTCAGCACAAAAGGATTACTGCACTGTCAGAGGGTCAGTACTGAGAGAGCCCTGTTTTGTCAGAAGGTCAGTACTGAGGGAGTGACGCACTGTTAAAGGTTTAGAACTGAGGCACCACTGCATATTGGACAATCAACACTGAGGGAGTACTCCTTTTCAGGACGATGTTAAACCTTTCTGAGGTGACATTGCAGTTAAGGATTTAGCTTTTCACACCCCCTAAAAAGCTACCCTAGATTTCCTATTATCCATTAAACTTAGGAAAATTCTTTTTTTTTCAGTTTGATAATGGGATGTGGGCATCACTGGCTGGGCCAGAATTTATTGCCCATCCCTAATTACCCAGAGGGCAGTTAGGAGTCCATCACATTGCTGTGGGCCTGGAGTCACACATAGGCCAGACCGGGTATGGGCAGCAGAATTCTTTCCCTAAAGGACATTAGTGAACTAGATGGGTTTTTATCAACATTCAACAATGTTCTCATGGTCATCATTGAGCTCTTAATTCCAGATTTTCATTGATTTCGAATTCCACCATCTGCCATGGTAGGATTCGAACCTGGGTCCCCAAGCCATCAGCCATCACGTCCCAATCATTTCATGTTTCCTGTCAGTGAGTATAAAAGTTCCGATGGCTATTATTTGAATAAGAGTTTCAACAGACAGGCGGCAGCACTGTTGTGAAGACATATTGTGCAAACTGGGCCTGTAGTCTCTCGAGCTTTTATGAGGGGTGATCTCATTGAAACTTACAAAATACTTAAAGGGACAGGCAGGATAAATGCAGGTATGATGTTCCCCCATTTGGGAGTCTAGAACTCTCCTGCCATAAAACCATAACACCATAAGATGTAAGAGCAGAAATAGGCCAGTCAGCCCATAGAGTCAGCTCCACCGTTCATTAAGATCATGGCTGATCTGATAATGCTCAACTCCAGATATCTGCCTTTTCCCCATAACCCATGATTCCCTTACTGATGACTCAACTGTCTCTCTCAGCCTTGAATATACTTAATGACCCAGCCTCAATAGCCCTCTGCGTTAAAGAATTCCACAGATTCACTCCCCTCCTCATCTCTGTATTAAATGTGCAACCAATTCTGAGATTATGCTGTCTGGTCCTAGACTCTCCCACAAGGGGAAACAGCCTATCCATATCTGTCAAGTTCCATAACAATCATGAATGTTTCAATCAGGTCATCCCTCGTTCTTCTATGTTCTAAAGTACAGGTCCACTCTACTCAACCTCTCCTCATAAGACAGTTTCCTCCATGTCGGGTATTAGTCTAGTGAACCTTCTCTGGACTACGTCCAATGTCAGTATATTTTTCTTTAGATAAGGGGACCAAATCTGTTCACAGTATTCCAGGCTTGTGCCTTGTATAGTTTTAGCAAAACCTCCCTACTTCTATGTTCCATTCTTTTTGAGATAAAGGTCAATATTCCAATTACTTTCCCTATTACCCCCAAAATTGGATGCTAGCATTTTGTGATTCGTGGATGAGGACTCCCAAATCCCTCGATTCTTTAGCTTTCTTCAGTCTTTCTCCATTTAAGTAATAATCAGCTCCTCTGTTTTTCCTGCCAAAGTGCATAACATTATATTTCCCCATAATGTAATCCATCTAAACAGTTGCCTGCTAAGGCAACAATGGCCATTTATGCCAGCTGTCTGTTTTCTATCTGTTGGCCTCCTTAAGCCAGGCCAGTACATTACTGCGTATCCCATGTGCTTTAATTTTGGCATCGTACCTCCTGTGGAGGACTTTATTAAGTCTTCTGAAAATTCAAGTACATTACATCTGCTAACTCCCCTTAATTCTGTAAGTAATATCTTCAAACAATTTCAACAGGTTCATCAAACATGATTTCCCATTCACAAATCAATGCTAACCATACCCAATCAGATCATCACAATTTAAGCATCCATTTGTGATAGCCTAAATAATAGATTCTTGCATTTTCCCTAATACTGATGTAGTTTCTAGTTTCTCTCTCTGTTCATTCTTAAACAGTGGTGTGCCATTTGCTACCTTCCAATGTGCACAAATCATTCCAAAATCTATTATATTTTGGAAAATGATCACCAATATATCCACTATCTCCATCTCTTTCAATGCTATGGAATGCAGAGTATTAGGTCCCAGGGATTTATCAACCTTCAGGCCCATTAATTTCTCCAACAGAAAGGATTAATTAACTAATGCCAGGTTGGTCCCAGGAACCTAAACCAATGATCATTTACTGGAAGCCAGGGACTGTTTACCAGAAATCAGATCCTAATTCTCAAAGGGACCATCATCCCAAGTAAAATGTAGTTTATTTTTATCAAAAGCTGAAATAGACAGATTTTCAGTCTGTCAGGGAATCAAAGGACACAGGGAGCTTGCAAGAAAGTGATTTGTGCAAATAAGCCATGGTTGTATTGAATGACAGAGTAGGTTCAACTGGCTGTTTAGTCTACTCCTGCTCTTGTTTCTGATGTTTCTCCGCAGGAGAGTATTGTGCGCTGTGATCAGATCAGAGCTGTGGTTGAATGGTAATCTGCAGTGAGATTCTAAAGCAGGTGAAAGGCTGCAATGTTTCTAAGCTGTGCTGACCAGCATTGCCTCAGTTTAGGTCCCTAATCTGTGCCTGGTTAGTTTGAGCCCTGTTGGCAGTAGCTGCACCTTATTCTCTGGAATAGGACTTGGGAAAATAGAGAATTTTTGGGCAAATAAAAAAGGAAAGTTATTGGATGTCAACTAAATACAGGAAAAGATTCAGCTGCCTCTGCAGTTAGAGGAAGGATGGTGATGTAATGGTAATATCACTGGACTAGTAAGACTCATGCTAAGGGGTTTAAATTCCATTGTGGTACCTGGTGGAATTTAACTTCATTTCATAAATCTGTAATTTAAAGCAGCACAAGTCTTTTAAAATGGAAATAGTGAAATTGCAGTGCCAGCTTGTTCCTGTAAAGTTGAAAAGTGGTACCAAAGATTCCAGAGAAGCCTGGATAATGAGCAATATACAGGGTTGTATAAGGAAGAAAAGAGAAGCTCACATTCAGTACCAAGGGCTTAGAACACCAGAAGCCCTGGAGGTGCACAAAATATAAAGTACAATTTAGGAATATGAACTTTGGGCATGAAAAGGCACTGGTAGGTAAAATAAAGGAAAATGTTAAGGTATTTTATAAGTATATTAAGGGCAAGAGGATAACCATGGAAAGATTGTAAACCCATTAGGGACCTAAGGGGCAAACTATGATGGAACCCGAAGATGTAGGTGAGGTTTGATATGAGTGCATTACATCTGTATTCATTATAGAAAGAATGATGCCCATGTAGAATCCAGGGAAGAGGACCATGAGACACATAAACAAATTATGCTTTAGATGAAGGAGGTATTAGCTGTTTTAGCAGGATTAAAATTGGATAGGTTCCAAACCCAGAAGTGATGCACACCAGGCTGCTGTGGTGAGGGGTTGCTGGGGGTGCGCAAGGGAAGAGGTTGCAGGGGCTCTGACATTAATTTTTAAATCCTCTCCTGAAAGAGGAGGGGTTCAAGAGAACTGGAGGACAACTGATATATCATCATTCAAGAAGGCTGATGGGGATAAACCATGAAACTAAAGGCCAGTGAGTCTAAATCAGTCGTGAAGAAACTACTGGAAAAATTTCTGAGCAACAGAATTAATCTATACGTAAAGAGGCAGGGGCTAATCAAGGATATTCAGCATAGCTTTTTCAGGGATGATCATGTCAGACAGGTTTGATTGAATTTTTCAAGGAGGAATTTTTCAATTTTCAAAGACCAACAGAGAGCAACAAGAAAAGAAATAAGGAGGGGGAAGATTAAATCTGATGGTAAGCTAGCCAGTAATATACATGAAGACTGTAAGAGTTTCTTTAGGTATATAAAAGGCAAAAAGAGAGGCAAAAATGGACATTGGACCATTGAAAAATGACGGTGGAGAGATAGTAGTGGGGAACAAGGAAATGGCTGAGGAACTGAATACTTACTTCGCGTCAGTCTTCACAGTGGAAGACATGAGTAAAATCCCAAAAATTGAAGAGAGTCAGGGGGCAGAGCTGAGTATAGTGGCCATCACCAAAGAAAAGGTGCCAGTAAAACTGATTGGCCTAAAGGTCGACAAATCACCTGGACCAGATGGACTACACCCCAGAGTTCTAAAGGAGATAGCTAAAGAGATAGTGGAAGCGTTAGTGGTGATCTTTCAGGAATCGCTAGAGTCAGGGAAGGTCCCAGAGGACTGGAATTTTGCTAACGTGACACCCTGTTTAAAAAGGGAGTAAGGCAAAAGATGGAAAATTACAGGCCAATTAGCCTAACCTAAGTCGTGGGTAAGATTTTGGAGTCCATTGTAAAGGATGAGATTTCTGAATATTTGGAAATGTATAGTAAAATAGGGCAAAGTCAGCATGGTTTCATCAAGGGGAGGTCATGCCTGACAAGTCTGCTAGAATTCTTTGAGGAAGTAACGAGTAGGGTGGACCAAGGAGAGCCAATGGATATTATCTACCTGGACTTCAAGAAGGCCTTTGATAAGGTGCCACTCCTTTGATAAGGAGGCTGCTGAGTAAGATAAGGGCCCACCGTGTTAGAGGCAGGGTGCTAGCATGGATAGAAGATTGGCTGTGTGGCAGAAAGCAGAGAGTGGGGATAAAGGGGTCTTTCTCAGGATGGCAGCTGGTGAAAAGTGGTGTTCCACAAGAGTCAGTGCTGCGACCACAACTTTTCACTTTGTACATTAATGATCTCGATGAAGGAACTGTGGGCATTCTGGCTAAGTTTGCAGATGATACAAAGATAGATGGAGGGACAAGTAGTATTGAGGAGGTGGGGAGGCTGCAGAAGGATTTGGACAGGTTAGGAGAGTGGGCAAAGAAGTGGCAGATGGAGTACAACGTGGGAAAGTGTGAGGTCGCGCACTTTGATAAGAAGAATAAAAGCATGGTCTATTCTCTAAACGGGGAGAAAATTCAGAAGTCTGAAGTGCAAAGAGACTTGGGAGTTCTAGTCCAGGATTCTCTCAAGGTAAACTTGCAGGTTGAGTCAGTAGTAAGGAAGGCAAATGCAATGATGGCATTTATTTTGAGAGGACTTGAATATAAAAGCAGGGATGTACTACTGAGACTTTATAAGGCTCTGGTCAGGCCACATTTGGAGTATTGTGTGCAGGTTTGGACCCCATATCTCAGGGAGGATGTACTGGCCCTGGGGCGAGTTCAGAGGAGGTTCACGAGAATAGTCCCAGGAATGGAAAGCTTAACATATGAAGAACGTTTGAGGACTCTGGGACTATAGTTATTGGAGTTTAGAAGGATGAGGGGGGATCTAATTGAAACTTTCAGAATACTGAATGGCCTGGACAAAATGGATGTTGGGAAGATGCTTCCATTGGTAGGAGAGTCTAGGACCTGAGGGCACAGCCTTAGAGCAAAGGGAAGACCTTTTAGAATGGAGATAAGGAGAAACTTCTTCAGCCAGAGAGTGGTGATTCTATGGAATTCACTGCCACGGAAGTCAAAGAGTACATTTAAGACTGAGATAGATAGGTTCTTGATTATCAAGGGGATCAAGGGTTACGGGGAGAAAGCGGGAGAATGGGGTTGAGGAACTTATCAGCCATGATTGAATGGCAGAGCAGACTCGATGGGCCAAATGGCCTAATTTCTGCTCCTATGTCTTATGGTCTTATGGTGACTGGATTTAGGTAGTGCGGTGAATGTTGTCCACACAGACTTCAGTAAGACATTCGACAAGGTCTTGCATGAGAAGTTGGTTCAAGAAGGTAACAGCTATTGGCATTCAGGGCAATTTGCCAAATTGGATCCAAAATTAGTGGAAAGAGGCAGAAGGTGATGGTTGAAGACAATGTTCCTTGTAACATATATGCAGCCACTCCATCGTTCTGTACACAATGATCGGCATCAACATGTCAGTTGTAGCATTGACTTCCAGTTCTGGAATTTTCTGCCTCACATGAGCCTTGGAGGCCCATGCAGAAAGAAAATTAGAGAGAACACTGGTTGAATGTTGTTTTTTTCTGATGGAATCTTGTGTCCAATGGCATTCTTCAAGGTTTGGTACTGTGCCCCTTGCTCTTTGTTGTGTATATTGATGATCTAACCATGAACGTGGGAGGCTTGATCAGTAAGTTTGCAAATGACATGAAATTGGTTGCATGGTCAATAGCGAGGAGGAAAGCTTTAAACTACAGGACGATATAGATGAGCTGGTCAGATAGGCAGAATGATTGCAAATGGAACTTAATCCTGGAAAGTGTGAGGTGATGCACTTTGGGAGGATTAACAAGACAGGGAAGTACATGATGAATGGTGGGACCCTAGGTAGTTCAACAGGACCTTTGTGTGCATGTCCATGTATCCATGAAGGCAAGAGGACAGGTGATAAAATAGTTATGAAGCTCTATGGGATACTTGCCTTCATTAGTCAAGGTATTGAACACACGATCAAGGAAGTTACAATGTGGCAGTATATTACTTCAGTTAGTCTCAAGCTGGAGTACTGTGTACAGTTCTGGTTGCCACACTATAGGAAGGATGAGATTACACTGGAGAGGGTGCCCAGAAGATTCACCAGGAGGTTGTGTGGCCTGGAGTGATTCAGTTTGAAGAGAGACTAGATAACCTGGAATTGTTTTCCTTTGAGCAGTGCAGGTGAGGGGGGACCTAACTGAGGTCTATGAAATTATGAGAGACATATATGAGGGAGGGAGAAAGAAACTTTATCCCTTAGTGGAGGAATCAATAACCAGGGAGTGTAGATTTAAGGAAAAGAGCAGCAGGTCCAAAAGAGATTTAAGGAAGATTTTTTTCACCTTAGGTTACCTGGAACTCACTACCTGAAATGGTGTTAAAGGTGGAACTGTCAAAACATTTAGATAATCATTTGAAACACCTTAGTATACAAGGATATTGGCCAAGTATTGGAAAAGAGACTAGAGTAGATAGATGCTTGATGACTGGCATGGATGTAATGGGTTGAAGGACCACTTTCTGTGCTGTAAAACCCTATGAATCTATGAAAGCTAGTCTCAGTGATGGTGACTATTGCTATCACTGATTGTTGTAAAAACCCATCTGGGTCACTAACATCACTTAGCAAAGAAAACCTGCTGTCCTTACCCAGTCTGGCCTACTGACCCACAGCAATGTGTTAAACTCCTAATTAACTGTCCTTTGAAGCAGCTCAGCAGACTACTCAGTTCGAGGGCAATTAAGGATCACCAACAAATGCCTGCCCCATCAGCGACACAAACATCCTATGAATGTATGTATCAATGTGTCGAATAGTCAAGCTGGGATTGGTGCCCTGGGCACTAAGCAGCTTGCAATTCAACTCCTATTTATTTCAATGGACAGAGGTTCAATGACTGTGGAGAATAACTGTCTAGGTTTGTGATTTTGTGTGTGTGTGTGGGTGTGTTTGGAAGAAGGGATGCTTGTGCTGATTGTCAGATGGTGAATCTGTGCTGTTGATCATTTTACTTTGCAGGAACACCTTGCAATGACCTTCTTACACTGACTGTCTTCATTTTCCCATTCAGTAAAGCACCTGCTAGTGCTCTCCATGTTTCAGGACAGACTCGGGATTGAAGTGATCAGAAGCAAGCCCCAGTCCCCAGGGAAACCACCAGTCTGCAATGTCTTTAATCACAAGCGCAAGGTAACTTTGTTATATTCGTTCATTGGGTGCAGGTGTTGCCAGCATTTATCATCTGTCCCTTCTCCGTTCCCTGCCAAAGGTGGTGCTGAGTTGGGTTCTTGATCCACTGCCATCTATGTGTTGTAGTTAAAAACACAATGTCCTGAGGGAGGGAATTCCAGGATTTTGACCCAGTGACAGTGAAGAATAGGTGATTATTTCCAGGTCAGGATGGTGAGTGGCTTGGAGGGGAACTTGCAAGTGGTGGTGTTCCCATATATCTACTGACCTTTGTGGTAGAGAACGCAGACTTGGAAAATGCTGTTGAAGGAGCCTTGATGAGTTGCTGCAGTACTTATTGGGCAATAAATACATTCTGAGACATTTCAGAGGTTTATGGGAAACTTAATGGGTAGAAAAAGTGAACCAAGAAATTGTAGCGCAAGAGGACATAGGGTCAGGCTTATGGTAGACATGTTGGGTACTGCTATCAAGAAAGATTTCTCAAAAAAATGCATTTATGTGGCACCTTTAACATTGTAAAACATCCAAAGGTATTTTACAGGATAAAACAACATTTCACACCCAGCCATATAAGGAGCTATTAGGATAGCGGACCAAAGCTTGGTCACAGAGTCAGATTTAAGAATTAAAAGGTGAGAGAGCAGACAGGGTTAGGAAGGAATTCTCAGCAGAGATGATTGTCAGTGATGGAGTGATCCAATTTGAGGATGTTTGTGAGGCCAGAAAGTGAGGAATGTAGAGACCTTGCAAGGCTGGAGGAGGTTAGAGAGATCAGAAAAACATTCACTGCAGCTAACTTTAGTCAAAACTGACAGAACACAGGCTGAAAATCTGGTGGTATTTCCCACCAGCATCCCAGCTCTTTTGTGGTGGATTTTAACCAGCTACCTGAGTGGCCAGCAAATGTTCTTGCCTGAAACTGGCAGGTGCATTCTGTTAAATATTTGGATCAGGACCCGATGGGATTGGGGCCTGAGTGTACAGGGGGATCCTCACTTCAGCGCTGATTCCTTCCTGTTGCTGCTGCAAATCCCAGTTGCACATGTAGCTAGGCCCATGCTTCCCACTGTCAGGGCAGACTAGGGGTTTCAATCGCGTAGTTCACACCATTCTCACTGTGGTTTAAAATGGGGGCTCCTTAAGTTGCTTTGTGGACAAGTTACTCAAGTGTTGCCAGGGGCTGGGTAGGAACTCTGCTTTTGAACTTTAAGTCATAGAATGACAGTGCAGAAGGATGCCATTCAGCCCATTATCTGGGTGCCAGCTCTTTGGTGGAGCTATCTAATTAGTTCCACTCCCTTTGCTGCTTCTCCAAAGCCCTTCAAATTGAAGTCTTGATCCAATTTCTTTTTTGAAAGTTATTACCAAATCTGCCCTTTTTGGGCAGTCTGTTCCAAATCACAACTCACAAATCAGCTCATCTCTACCACCACCACCACCACCAACACCCCCCCTCCCCCTCGGGATACCAGGCAACAGTGGGTTGATTACAGGTGGTATCTAGTTTCTCAAAGCAGAAGAAATGTGCATGTTTAAACTTTTCACCACTGGGACAGCTGCACTAGGGAGTTTAAATATTTCAGATTTAATTTCCCATCGCTTGGAATTCCAGGACTTTTGATGAGTGTTTTAGGGATTAGAATCTATTTTCTTCAGTGTATGAACTATGAAGCAGCGAAAGGGTTGGCTTCTTGCTGCCGGAGTCCAAGGGCTAGGAAACCTTCATAGTTGAGATTCTGGGCTGTGTCTCACTCACGACTGGATCACTATTTTCCCAGAATTAGGAAGTTCCCTCTTGCTATTCCAGGTCAACAGTCTCATTCCACGGATCCCTAAACAGGTCCTGATGTTGGAAGCTGCTGAGCAACTTCTTGAGCTGGACCAGGCCAGAGAAGAAGAGAGCCAGTCTGATGATGGAGAGATGGAAACTCCGACACCACCACTTGACATCTGCTCAGAGCTTCTGTCATCACTGTCACATAGGGTCTGCACATTGGAGAGTAGCTCCTCTGAAGAGAGCTCCTGGACTTCAGATGAGACCATCAAAGAAAAGGAAACAGAGGGGTTCTTCATGACCCAGGTCAGTTGCCTCAAAGATACCATGATTATAGACTGCTTTGTGTTAGAGGAACAGGGAGTTAATGGCACAGTGTATTGAGGAAGGTAAGAAAGTCTCAAATTCAGACCAACCCCTTTCATAAGCTGGGGACGATGTCTTAAATTATTCTTTATGAACTGGGCCTCATTGGAAAAGTCAATGTTAGTTGCCCATCCCTAAATGCGCTTGAGCTGAGTGTTTTGTTCAGCCATTTCAGAGAACAGGTAAGAGTCAACCACATTGCTATGGGTCAGGAGTCACATGTAAGTCAGTCCAGGTGAGGACAGCAGATTTGCTTCCTTAAAGGATATGAGCAGAGCAGATGGGTTTTTACAACAATCAATGATAATTTCATGATCACTATAACTTAGAGTAGACTTTGATTCCAGATTTTATTTTACAAATTTAGTTAAATTCCCCCATTTAGACACTTAAATGTTTACAGCACAGAAGATGACAATTTGGCCCATTGTGTCCATACCAGTCAACAAAGATCTGATTACAGTAATCCCATTTTCCAGCCCTTGGCCCATAGCCCTTGAGGCTATGGCAATGTAAGTGAATATCTAAATACTGCTTCAATGTTATAAGAGATTCTGACTCAACCACCCTTACAGGCAATGAGTTCCAGACTCCCACTGCCTTCTGAGTGAAAAGGTTTGTACTCAACTCCTCTCTTAGCCCTGTACTTCTTACCTTAAATCTATACTCCCTCGTTATTTGAAAGATGTGTCTTCCTGTCGCTCCAATCTATACCTCTCATAATCTTATATACCTCTATCAGGACCCCTTTCAACCTTCATTGCTATGAGGAAAACACCACAGCCTATCCAATTCTTCCTCACAGCTCAGATCCTTCAGGAGGCAGCATCTCGGTAAGTCTCCTCTCTATTGCAATCACATCTTTCCTTTAACATGGTGACCAGAACTGCACACAGCGCTCTGGTTTGTGATCTAACCAGTATTTTATACAGTTCCAGCACAACCTCCTGGCTTTTATAATCTATGCCTCTGCTAACAAAGGCATGCATCCTATATGCCTTCTTAACCATCTTACCTACCTGCCCTGTACTTCCAACGATCTGTGGATGTGCACACCAAGGGCCCTCTGATCTTCGGTACTTTCTGGGAGCCTGCCAGTTATAGTGTAATCCCTTGCCTTGTTAGCTCTCCCCAAGTGTACTTACCTCACACTTTCCCAAGTTAAATTCCATTTGTCACTGCTGTACACATCTGAGCAGTCCATTCATATTCTCCTGCAGTTTGTGGCTATCCTCCTCATTATTTATAGATTGAATAGCATGGAGACAGACCATTCAGTCCAACCAGTCATAGAGTCATAGAGGTGTACAGCGCAGAAATAGACCCTTCGGTCTAATTTGTCCATGCTGACCAGATATCCTAAATAAATCTAGTCCCATTTGCCAGCCTCTAGTCTATTTCCCTCAAAGCCCTTCCTATTCATATACCCATCCAGACACTTTTTGAGTGTTGTAATTGTACCAGCCTCCACCACTTCCTCTGACAGCTCATTCCATACATGCACTACCCTCTGCATTTAAAAAGTTGCCCCTTAGGTCTCTTTTAAATCTTTCCCCTCTACCTTTAAACCTATGCCCTCTAGTTTCAGACTTCCTGACCCTGGGGAAAAGACCTTGTGTATTTACTCTATCCATGCCCCTCATGATTTTATAAACTTCTATTAGGTCATCCCTCAGCTTCCGATGCTACGGGGAAAATAGCCCCAGCCTAATCAGCCTCTCCTTATAGCTCAAACCCTCCAACCCTTGCAACATTCTTTAAAATCTTTTCTGAGCCCTTCCAAGTTTCGCAACATCCTTCCTATAGCCGGGAGACCAGAATTGCACACAGTTTTCTGTACATCCGCAACATGACCTCACAACTCCTATACTCAATGTACTGACCCTGTTCCCAAACAAAACTAGTCCCACCTGCCTGCATTTTGCTCATATCCCTCCAAACATTTCCTATTCAGGTACTTATCCAAAAGTCTTTTAAACGTTGTAACTATACCTGCATCCACTACTTCCTCTGGCAGTTCATTCCACACACCAACCATTCTCTGTTTAAAAAGGTTGCTTCTCATGTCCTTTTTAAATCTTTCTCCTCTCACCTTAAAAATATATCTCTTAGTTTTGAACTTGCCTTACCTTATCTATGTCTCTCATGATTTATAAATTTCTGTAATGTCACCCCTCAACCCCCTACGCTCCAGCAAAGAAAATCCCTGTCTATCCAAGATAACAAGGTGTAGAGCTGGATGAACACAGCAGGCCAAGCAGCATCAGAGGAGCAGGAAGGCTGACGTTTCGGGCCTAGACCCTTCTTCAGAAATGGGGGAGGGGAAGGGGGTTCTGAAATAAATAGGGAGAGAGGGGGAAGCGGATAGAAGATGGATAGAGGAGAAGATAGGTGGAGAGGAAGCAAACAGGTCAAAGAAGTGGGGATGGAACCAATAAAGGTGAGTGTAGGTGGGGAGTTAGGGAGGAGATAGGTCAGTCCAGGGAGGACGGACAGGTCAAGGGGGCGGGATGAGGCTAGTAGGTCGGAGATGCGGGTGGGGCTTGAGGTGGGAGGAGGGGATAGGTGGGCGGAAGGACAGGTTAGGGAGGTGGGGACGAGCTGGGCTGGTTTTGGGATGCGGAAGGGGGAGGGGAGATTTTGAAGCTTGTGAAGTCCACATTGATACCATTGGGCTGCAGGGTTCCCAAGTGGAATATGAGTTGCTGTTCCTGCAACCTTCGGGTGGCCTATTTATCCAGCCTATTTTTATAACTCCAACCCTCCATTCCTGGCAACATCCTGATAAATCCTCTCCAGTTTAATAATATCCTTCCTATAACAGGGTGCCCAAAACTCCACACAGTACTACAGAAGAGGCCTCATCAATGTCCTGTACAATCTCAACAAGATATCCCAACTCCAATAGTCAAAGGTTTCAGCAATGGAGGCAAGCATGCCAAATGCCTTCTTAACCACACTGTTTACCTGTGATGCAAATTTCAAATATACCACTCCTCAGGTTTTGTGCCATCTGTAAACATCCTGATCATACTGTCTACATCAGAACCAGAAAAGGCCCCAGCACCGAGCACTGTGGAACCCACAGGAAACAGACTTCCAACCAGAGAAACACCCCTCTACCATCACCTTCTGCTTCTGCTTCTGAGCCATATTTCCAATGTGCCACTTAACTTTAGATCCCGTGAGTTCGTACTTTCTTGACCAGTCTGAGGGACTTTATCTAAAGCCTTGCTAAAGTCCATGTACAGCATGTCAATAACATTACCAAAACCATCAACAATCCTGGTTACCCCCTCAAAACATTCAATCAAATTTGACAAACATGACCTTTCCATAACAAATCCATGCTATCCTTCATTAATCCATGTTTCTCCAAGTGGTATATATTCTCTGTCTTAGAATTCTTTCTAATAAATTCCCCTCTACCGAGGTTAGACTGACCAGCCTTTAATTTCCTGGTCTGTCCCTTCAGTGGTGTGTATTGTGTGCTATGTAACCTTCAGTTGTGTTAGCACAGTGCCTTTTTGAGCTCACTAGTGTTAGCATTGTATTTTCTCTGAAATCAATAGTGCTATCACTGTATCCTGCTGGACCTCTCTACCTATCGCATCGTCACTCCTCACCCTACACTAGAGACTGAAGAGACACTGAGCCTGTGGCAGTCCTGTGAGTTCCAATATCTCCATGTCCTGATTTTTCTTCCCAAAGGTTGACAATGTGACACTGAAGAGTGAAGGATTGGAGACTATGGAGGAAGCATTTACTGTAGCATCCTCATGCACATCTAATCTTCCTGAAAAATATAAAGGCTACGAAGAACTTCTGGATGCAAATCCTGACCCTGACTTTGTGGAACCAGTTGGTAAGAGATTCTACTCCCATCCATAGCTTCCTTCGCACCCCCCTGCCTTCTCAGAGAGGTCCAATTCTTTCGCATTATGAGCATTGCCTGGTGCTATCAGTTCCTCTAGGAATTGTCCTGGACTCTCCAGGAATTGATGAGGAATTTCGTGCCCACTGCTGTGGCCTAACCAATTTCTGTACAGCTCCAACATAACCTCCATGCTCTTATAATCTGTGCCATGATTGATAAAGGCAAGTGTCCCATATGCCTTCTTAACTCCCTATTAACCTGCTGCCTTCAGGGATCTCTGGACAAGCGCCCCAAGATCCCTCTGGTCCTCTGAACTTCCTTGTGTCCTGCCATTCATTGATTATTCCCTTGTATTGTTCCTTCTTCCAAAGTGCATCATCTCATACTTATCAGGATTAAATTCTGTCTGCCACTGATCTGCCCATCTGACAAACTCATCCTTATTCTCTTGTAGCCCAAGACCTTCTACCTCACTGTCAACCACCCAGCCAATCTCTGAATCATCCTGCAACTTAACTTATCACCTCCACCCGTGTCCTCATCTGCATAATCTATGAATACCACAAGCAATAAGGAACACAGCACTGGTCCTTGTGGAATGCCACCTCACATTGGACTCCAGTCACAAGCTGGAGCATGGGGCTGTCTGATTGTTCAGAATAGATTTATCAATGTTGGTTTCTACAGCTCACCTCTATCTACCTGTTGACCTCCAGTATCCATAGTTGTCAAGAGTTCCTCAGGGTAGTGTCCTAGGCCCAACCATCTTCAGCTGCTTCATCAATGACCTTCCCTCCAACATAAGGTCAGAAGTGGGATGTTCACTGAAGATTGCACAATGTTCAGCACCATTCGTGACTCCTCAGATACTGAAGCATTCCATGTTCAAATGCAACAAGATCTGGACAATATCCAGGCTTGGGCTGACAAGTGGCAAGTGACATTTGCACCACACAGTTGCCAGGCAATGACCATCACCAATAAGAGACAATCTAACCACCGTCCCTTAACATTCAATGGTGTTACCATCACTGAATCCCCCACTTTCAACATCCTAGGTGTTATCATTGACCAGAAACTCAACTTGACTTACCACATAAACGCAGTGGCTACAAGAGCAGGCCAGAAGCTGGGAATACTGCGGCAAGTAACTCACCTCCTGACTCCTCAAAGCCTGTCCACCATCTACAAGGTACAAGTCAGGAGTGTGATGGAATACTCCCCACTTGCCTGGATGGGTGCAGCCCCAACAATACTCAAGAAGCTTGACACCATCCAGGACAAAGCAGCCCGCTTGATTGGCACCACATCCACAAACATCCACTCCCTCCACCACTGACACTCGGTGTATCTACAAGATACACTGCGGAAATTCACCAAAGATCCTCAGACAGCACCTTCCAAATCCATGACCACTTTCATCTAGAAGGACAAGGGCATCAGACATATGGGAGCACCACTACCTCCAAGTCCCCCTCCAAGCCACTCACCATCCGAACTTGGAAGTATATCGCTGTTCCCTCATTGTCGCTGGGTCAAAATCCTGGAATTCTCTCCCTAATAGTATTGTGGGTCAACCTACAACAGGAAGACTGCAGTGATTCAAGAAGGTAGCTCACCACCACCTTCTCAAGGGGCAACTAGGGATGGGCAAGAAATGCTGGCCAGCCAGCGACGTCCACGTCCCACAAATGAATAGAGAAAAAAAAACTTGCTCAAGTTTCAGTCTTACAGAACCTTCACAGTTTTCTTTTCTTTTTTGATTCTCCAGGAATTCAACAGAATGTTCAACAATTGGAACACTCACTTCAGAAGCTACAACTGTACCCAGACCCATTTGCCAGAGTGAACCTCCAGAGGGAGCCCTATGTGCCCAGGGCAAGAATGGTATAGTACTGTCACATCACTCTAGAAATCAGAAAATGAATAATTACTGCACCTTTCACTATCTCAGAATGTTTCAAAGTGCTTTATACCTAATGAAGTGCTTTTTGAGTTTGGTCACTGTCCTAATGTTGGAAACATGGCAATCAACTTGTGCACAGCAAGCTGCCACAAGCAGCAAATGGCTGGAGAATCTGTTTTAGTAATTTTGGTTGAAGGGTAAGTATTTTTCCCAGGGCACTGGGAAGAACTGCCCTGCTCTTGTTTTGAAGAGTTGTGGTAATGTTTATATCATCCTGAGAGGACAGATAGGGCCTTGGTGTAAAGTCTCATTCAAAAGATAATAATTTTGACAGTACAGCACTCAGTAAGTCCAACTGCCAGTGGAAGCCGAGACTATGGAACTTAGGTGTCCAGAGTGAGACTAGAGTCAAGAATCTTATGATTCAACGGCGAGGGCAAAAACTGACACCTTAGTGCCATGTGTAGTATTGTCATTGCTATAGAAAAGCAGCCATTTCTCACTTTGAAGGATCCCAGTAACACCACTGTTTGAGTAGCTGAGGTTAACCTTTTTGTGGTGTTGGTTTAGGGACTAATCTTCTATCATCTTTTGTTGAATTGGAGCCCAGGCTCTGCACAATCTCCTGGAGCAGACAGCCAAGCCCTCTGCCCAGGCAGCATTCTCTCAGTAAGACATCAGATAGGAAACCCTTGTTGGCTTTTAACGTGGCCAATTGGTCAGTTAGAGAGGATGGTATCAGACAAATTGAAGGGGCCTCACATTTGGGACCCCAATCTTACCAATAATCACAAAAGACCTTGTGCAACAGAAGGGTGTTTATTTATGCAATATATAAGATGATAAGAAAATGGAACAGGGGTCGGCCATTCAGCCCCTCAAGCCTGCTCCACCATTCAATAGGATCATGACCGATCTGGCAAGTCCACTTTCCTGCCCTTTCCTATAACTCTTGATTCCCCGACTGATCAACAATCTATCTTAGCCTTAAATGTACACAAGGACTCTGCCCTCTTTGTGGCAAGGAGTTCCAAAGACTTCCAAACCTCTGAGAGAAAAAATTCCTCCTCATCTCAGTCTTAACTTGGTGATCCTTTATTCTGAGACTTTGCCCTCTGGTCCTACACTCTCCCATGAAGGGAAACATCCTCTCAGCATTTACCCTGTCAAGCCCCTTAAGAATCCTGTATGATTCATTAAGATCACCTCTCATTCTAAATTCCAATGAGTCCCAACCTGTTTAGCCTTTGTTCATAAGACAATCTCTCCACACTAGGGATCATCCTCATGAACCTTCTCTGAACTGCCTCCAATGAAATAATATGTTTCCTTAAATAAAGGGACCAAAACTGCTCACATTACTCCAGATGTGGTCTCACCAACACCTTCTACACTTGCACTAAGACTTCCCTACTCTTATACTCCATACCCCTTGAAATAAAGATCAATATATTCATTACCCTTCCTGATTACCTGCTCTCCCTGTGTGCTGGCTTTCTGTGTTTCATGCACAAGTCCTCTCAAGTCCCTTTGTGTTAGACCCTAAGACCATAAGATATAAGAGGAGAATTAAGAGCATTTGGCCTATCGATTCTGTTCTCTCGTTTGATCAAGGTTGATATGTTACAGCTTTTAGCAGCTTTTCTCCATTTAAATAATGCTTCTGTTCTTTTGTTCTCCCTTCCAAAATGAACAACTTCACATTTTCTCACATTATAGTCAATCTACCAGTTTTTGCCCACTTACTTAATCTATCGGTATCTTTCTGTAAACTGTTTGTATCTCTCTCACAACTTGCTTTTCCACCTACTCACCTCAGTATTAAATTGGTGATCCTTTATTCTGGCCACAGTACATTTGGCTACAGTACATTTGCTTCCTTCCTCCAAGTCATTAATATATATTGTAAACAGTTGTGGTCCCAGCACTGATCACTGTAGTCCCCACTGGTCAGGGGTCGCCAACCTTAAAAAATAACCCCTTATCCCCACTCGCTTTTTCCTGTCCATTAGCCAATCCCCTGTCCAAGTCAATACACTACTTCCAACACCATGGGGCTCTTATTGTTTAACGTTTTGTGAGATACCTTGTCAAATGCCTTCGGCAAGTCCAAATACTACACATCCATTGGATCCCCTCTATCCACTCTGGTTGTGACTTATTCGGCAAACTCAAATCAGTCAGATATGATTTCCCTTCCGTGAAGCTATTCTAATGCTGCTTGATTCAATAATGACTTTTCCAGATGTACTCATTCAGTTTTCTCTCGTGCAGCCGAGGAATCTAGCAGAATTCTCGTCTCACAAGAGCAGAGCTGATAAAATGGAAGAGATTCTGAAACGGATGAAGGAGCAGAGAACAATGAGCATTATTCCATTAGGTACTTGATCAGTAATTCTATTTCAATGGTCACATGACTCAAAAAGGTCTCCATTCAGCCCATTCAATCTATTCTGTCCCCCATTGGCATGTCTTCAACTCTGTTACCCAAAATTGCTGCAAGACTGGCTGAGTGTTTCCAGCAACATTTGTATTCCCTGCTGTATCGGTTTGGAATATTGCAGGATGAATCTTTTCTCTGTCATACATATACGCTGCTCCCCCCTCATCCCATTAGTCTGAAGACTCAAGACTTTTCCACATTTTTATAGACTTCCATGATCACACAGTTATTCTGATACTTGAGAATCTTCTATGAGTGATCATCGATCCACACATCCTAAAACAGCCCAACTGGCTAATCAGTGCTGACTGTGATAAAAACAGAAAATACTGAGGAAACTCAGCAGGTCTTGCAGCATCTGTGGAGAGAGAAAAACAATACAACCCCTTCAGAACTCCACAAATGAGATGGCATGTGGTGCTGCCAAAAATGTTTACTAGAACGCAATTTCCCCTGTCATGGTCATGTCACTGCCCCACCCCCACCCCTTTATTATCCCTAAACCCCACCCTGCCATCTTTGCAGAGGGTGGTTGGTACAGGCCGGATGGAATGGAGATCATGATGGGCCCCTGTTCCATGGGAACCAGCAATCTGGGCTGAAGCAGGAAAGAGTTGCGAAGTGACGTGAAGTTCCATCTACTTGTACGATTAATAATCCTGAAACCCAGGCTAATGTCCAGGTGACGTGGACAAATCCAACCATGACAGCCAGTGGAATTTAAATTTAATTTGAATAATCTGGAATTGACACTAGTCCTTGTGATGCTGAGCATGAAATTGTTATAAAAATCCATCTGGTTCTCTGATGTCAGTTGGGAAATCTGCTATCCTTACCTGGTTTGGCCTACATGTGACTTCAGCCTCAACTGCTTTGTCCTGGATGGTGTCATGCTTCTTGGGTGTTTTTGCAGTTTCAGGCAATTGGGGGGGTATTCCATCACACTCCTGACTTGTGTTTTGTATGTGGACAGGCTTAGGGAGTCAGAAGGTGAGCTACTCGCTGCTGGATCCCCAGCCTCTGACCTGTTCTTGTGGCCGCTCTATTTATATGGCTAATCCTGTTCAGTTGCAGGTCAATGGTGGCCCTGGTATTGAGGGATTCAGTGATGGTAACACCATTGAATGCCAGGGGGCAATGGTTAGATTGTTTTCTGTTGGAAATGGTCATTGCCTAGCACCTGTGTGTTGCAAATATTACTTGCCACTTGTCAGCCCAAAACTGGATATTGCTTAAATCTTTTCTGATGAAGGGTCTAGGCCCGAAACGTCAGCCTCTCTGCTCCTATGATGCTGCTTGGCCTGCTGTGTTCATCCAGCCTTGCACCTTGTTGTCTCGGATTCTCCAGCATCTGCAGTTCCTACTATCTCTGATTGCTTAAATCTTGTTGCATTTGGACATGGATTGCTTCAGTATCTGGGAGCCATGGAAAGGCTAAATGTTGTACAATCAACAGCAAACATCCCCACTTCTGAACTTTTATTGGGAGAAAGTCTTTGAGAAAGCAGCTGAAGATGGTTGGGCTTAGGACACTACCCTGAGGAACTCCTGCAGAGATAACTTGGAGCTGAGATGACTGACCTCCAACAACCATGACCATCTTCCTATGTGCCTGGTATGACTCCAACCAGTGGAGAATTTTCCCCCTGATTCCCATTGATTCCAGTTTTTCCAGGGCTCCTGATACCACACTCAAATGTGGTCTTGATGTGAAGGGCAGTCACTTTCAGCTCACCTCTGGAATTCACCTGTTTTGTCCATGTTTGAACCAAGGCTGTAATGAGGTCAAGAGTTGAGTGGCTCTTGCAGAACCCAAACTGGGCGTCGGTGCTTAATAGCACAGTTGATGACACTTTCCATCACTTTACTGATGATTGAGAGTAGACTAATGGGGCAGTAATTGGCCGTGTTAGATTTGTTCTGCTTTTTGTGTACCGGACACACCTGGACAAATTTCCACATTGTTGGTTAGATATCAGTGTTGTAACTGTACTTGGCTAGGGGAGTGGCAAGTTCTGGAGCACATGTCTTCAGTACTATTGCCAGAATGTTATCGGCACTTATAGCCTTTGCGGCGTCCAGTGACTCCAACCATTTCTTGATATCTTGTGGAGCGAATTGTATTGGCTGAAGACAGGTATTTGTAATGCTGTGGTCCACTGTACGAGGCTGAGATGGATCATCCACTCAGCATTTCTGGCTGAAGATTGCTGCGAATGCTTCAGCCTTATCTTTTGCACTGATATGTTGGGTTCTTTCCCTTCCTATTTTCAAATCCTCTCTGAACACTGGAGAGATGGAAGGGGGCAGCTGATGTGGTATCACTATTCAAGAGGTTTTACCAAGGAACTATGAGCCTGTGAGACTAACATTAATGGAAGGGAAACTATTGGAAAAGTTCTGAGGGACAGAATAAATCTCCACTTGGAGAGGCAAGAATTGATCAAGGATAATCAGTATGGCTTTGTAATTGGGAGATCATGTCTGACTGGTTTAATTGAATTTTTGAAGGAGGTGTCCAGATGTGTGAATGAGGGTAGTGCAGTGGATTTAGTCTACCTGGACACTGTTGTGACTTTTGACAAAGTAAGAAGCTAAGAGTCCGTGGGATCCAGGCTAATTTGGCAAATTGGATCCAAAATTGGCTTCTTGGCAGGAGCAGATGGTGGTACTCGAGGTCTTTTTGGGACTGGAAACCTGTGTCCTGTGGCATACCACATGATTCAGTGCTGGGTCTCATGCTGTTTATTGGCTGTTTGTTGTTTACCTTAATGATCTCAGCATGAACTTAGGAGGTATGATCAGTAAGTTCACAGATGTCATGAAAATTGATGGTGTGATAAACAGTGAGGAGGAAAGCCTTTGACTACAGGACGCTATAGATGGGCTGGTCAGAAGGGCCAAGCACTGGCAAATGGAAATTATTCATGTAAAGTGTGAAGTGAGGTGTGCATTTTTGGAGGACTAACAAGGCAAGAGAAGCATATGATAAATGGTAGGACTCTGGAAAGTACAGAGATGCAACAAGACCTGGCATGCATGTCCACAAATCCTTGATGGCTACAGGATAGATGGATAAGGAGGTGAAGGCGGCAAAGAAGGCATCTGGGTTACTTGCCTTCACTAGTTGAGGCACTGAATGCAAGAGCAAGGTTATGATAGAAACAAAAACAGAATTGGCTGAAAATCTCAGCAAGTCTGGCAGCCTCTATGGATAGAAATCAGAGTTGATGTTTCAGGTCCAGTGACCCTTCTTCAGAACTGATGGTAGCTAGGAAGGGTCACTGGACCCAAAACACTAACTCTGACCTCTCACAACAGATGTTGCCTGACCTGCTGAGATTTTCCTGCAATTTCTGTTTTGTTTCTGATTTCCAGCATCTGCAGTTCTTTCAGATTTTTATTTAGAGGTTATGTTAGGGCTGTCTGTAATGTTAGTTAGGCCTCAATTGGAGTACTTGTTCAGTTTTGGTCACCACACAATAGGAGGGATGTCTCTGCACTAGAGACAGTACAGAAAGCAGTCACCTGAATGTTGCCTGGAATGGAATGTTTAGCAATAGAGAAACTAGATAGGATGGGGGTGTTTCCCAGAGGTGTACAAAACAAACATGGTATGGATAAGGTAAATAAGAAAATGTTTTTCCCTTTAGTAAATGGATAACCAGAAGGTATAGATTTAAAGTAAAGAACAACAGGAACAACCCTGAAATTTAAGGAGGGTTTTTTCCACCCAGATGGTAGTTAGAACCTGGAATTCACTGCCTAAAAGGGTAGTGGCAGGAACCCTCATAATATTTAAGAAGAATTTAGATGAACACTTAAATGCAGTAGCACAGAAGGCTGTAGGCCCTGTGCTGGAATATTGGATTAGAATAGATAGGTCCTTAAAGATCAATGTGGATATGATGGGCTGAAGGGCCTCTTTTTAAGTGCTGTAAATCTCTGTGGCTCTACCTCCCTTTCAGGTAGTGCATATAGATCACTCAGAGTCACTGCCTAGAGATGTTTCTCTCAGTCACCTCATTCTTTTGCTAATCATCTTCAGTCTGTGTCCCTCTGACTTCCAACCCCCTGCCTTTCGAAACAGTTTATCTTTGGTCCCTGTTTCAAAACCCCTCATGATTCTGAACATCTCCATAAGATCTCCCTTAATCCACTCTGCACTAAGGAGAACAATCCCATCTTCACGAATCTCTCCATGTAATAGAAATCCCACATCCCTGGTCGCCTTGCAGTAAATCTCCTAGAACAAGGAACAATACAGCACAGGAACAGCCCCTTCGGCCCTCCAAGCCTGCGCCGACACATTGTGCCCTTCCATACTAAAACTGTCTTCACTTACAGGATCCGTATCCCTCTATTCCCTTCCTATTCACGTATTCATCCAGGTGTTTCCTGAATGCTGCTATTGTGTCTGCTTCCACCACCTCCTCTGGTGGCACATTCCAGGCACTCACTACCCTTTGTGTGAAAAACTTGCCTCACACATCTTCTTTAAACCCTTCCCCCACAGCCCCCCCCCCCCACCCCGATACCTTGAACCTGTGTCCCCTAGTAATTGACCCCTCCACCCTCCACCCTCATACTTTCCACTCTATCCATGCCATTCACAATCTTATAAACTTCTATCAGGTCGCACCCCCCCCCTCAACTTCCTGTGTTCCAGTGAAAACAGACCCAGTCTATCCAACCTTTCTTCACAGCTAAAATCCCCCATACCAGGCAACATCCTGGTAAACCTTTTCTGCACCCTCTCCAAAGCATCCACACGTTCTGGTAATGTGGCGACCAGAACTGTATGCAATATTCCAAGTGTGGCCTAACTAAAGTTCTGTAAAGCTTCAGCATAACTTGTCTCTTCTTATACTCAATGCCCCTTCCAATGAAGGCAAGCATGCCGCAGGCCTTTTTTACTACCTTATCTACCTGTGCTACCACCTTCAGTGATCTGTGGACTTGCACACACAGATCCCTCTGCATATCAATACTCCTAAGGGTTCTGCCATTCACTGTAGAATTTCCACTTGTACTTTACCTTCTAAAATGCATCACCTCACATTTGTTTGGATTAATCTCCATCTGCCATTTTTCTGCCCATGCTTCCAACTGATCTATATCCTGTTGTATCCTTTGACAATCCTCACTATCCACAACTCTATCAATCTTTGTGTCGTCTGCAAACCTACTAATTAGACCAGCCATGCTTTCCTCCAAATCATTTATGTAGACCATTAACAGCAGAGATCCCAGCACTGATCGATGTGGAACACCACTAGTCACAACCCTCCATTCCGAAAAGCTGCCTTCTACCGTTACCCTCGGTCTCCTATGACTAAGCCAGTTTTGTATCCATCTTGCCAGATCACCCCTGATACCATGTGACTTCACTTTTTGTACCAGTATGGCACGAGGGACCTTGTCAAAGGCTTTACTGAAGTCCATGGAAACAATATCAACTGCTTTTCCCTCATCAATTATCTTTGTCAACTCCTCAAAAACTCGATCAAGTTAGTAAGGCACGACCTCCCCGCACAAAAATGTGCTATCGCTAATAAGTCCAATTGCTTCTAAATGCGTATAGATCTTGTCACTTAGAATCTACTTTCCCTCCCACCAATGTGAGACTCACAGGCATATAATTTCCTGGATTATCCCTGCTACCCTTCTTAAGCAATGGGACACCATTAGCTATTCTCCAGTCCTCTAGGACCTCATCTGTGGCCAAAGATGATACAAAGATGTCTGTCAATGCTCCAGCAATTTGTTCTCTTTCCTCCCTCAATCTTCTGGGATAGATCCCATCAGGACCTAGGGATTTACCTACCTTAGTACTTTTTAAGATGCACAACAGCTTTTCCTTTTCACGTCTGCTTCCTTTTTCTTTCTGACCAAAGTCGTAACATCCCTGGTCATGCAAGGTTCACGTAACTTGCCATACCTCTCCTTCATTTTCGCAGGAATGTGTGCTCCTGAACTCTTATCAACTGCTGTTTGAAATACTCTCACATGTCCAATGTGGATTTACCCTGCAACTTCTCCTAGACTTAACTCTTTCCTCAAGGGTGGTGCCTAATATTCTGAAAAGTTTTTTTTATAAATACGTGGGATGTGGGTGTCACTGATAAGGCCAGCATTTGTTGTCCATGGGGTCACATGTAGGCCACACTGGGCAAGAATGGCAGTTTTCCTTCCGTGGAGAGCATTAGTAAATCTGTTTGCTTCTAGGAGCAATGACATTTTCATGGTCATCATCACCAAGACTAGCTTTCACTGTCAGATGGTATTAAATTAAATTGCACCAGCTGCCGTGGTGGGATTTGAACCCACGTGCCCAGAGCTACAAGCACGGAACTCTGTTCTGATTGACTGTGGAACCTTCTTCTTCCTGATTCCATCTAGCTCATGTGTTACGCGGCAAGGGCATCAGCAAGCAAGTCTATGAAGAGGCTGTGCATTTACTGAGAGGCCTGCAGCTTAAATACAAGGAAGCTCGAAAGCAGCTGGCCATTAACTACAGCAAGCTGCAAAGTGAGTGTTTGAAAACTGACCACAATGAGGAACAGTCTGACATTAGTCTCAAGCTTTCAGATGATCAGTCAGAACCGAACAACAGCTGAGATTAGCAGCAGCAAATTCTGATCAGTCCAATTTCGGTAGGTTTTGTCACATGATCTACATCATTCATCACTCTGCTGAAAGGACATGCCATCAACCTCTACATTATGTATTCGTTTTCTTTATAACTAATAAACTTAATAAAAAGTACAATTAATTCGAATTGAAATGTCTTTTGAACGATTCTACAGTGTGCAAGGAGTTTCAGCTGTGATTCCTATGACACCAGGTTATTTCTGGAAGATCAGCAACTATGACAAGAGAACAGGAATCCCAAACTGGTCAAATTTAATTAAAAAATTAAAACTGAATAGTGTTACTCTAACTTTGTTTGGTCCCATTTTGGAGCTGAAATTGCCTTTTTTAACCAGCAGGAAAGCACCCATGTGCCCAAGGACCAGTGACAAGCAGAGCCCTGTAGGGGCAATACCTGTGTGAAAGAAAATTTGAAGGGGAGGGTAGGGATCAAATCAAAATAGAGATTGGGGTGGGGGGGGAGAGAATAAGGCACTCCACTCCCGACAGTGCCCACCTCTCCCTAAAGACACAAATTGCCTTTATTTGACTCCATTACATTAGGGATGTTTCATTGAAAATAGAAGCAACAGCAAGTGATTCAGCCCTTCAAGCCTGCTCCACAATTCATTACGATCATGGCTGATAATGCAACTCAACAGCCCGTTCCCACTTTTTCTCCAAATTCTTTGATCCCTTTAGCCCCCAGTGGAACATCCAACTCCTTGAAACTCAACTGTTTTCTGTGGAAGCGAATTCCCACAGGCTCACTACTCTCTGGGTGGAGAAACTTGTTACAATCTCAGTCCTAAATGGTCTGCCCCATATCCTTAGACTGTGACCCCAGTTCTAGATTCAGCCGTCATTCAGAATATCTTTCCTGCATCTACCACACCTCGTCCTGCTAGAATTTAAAAGTTTAATTTAAGTGATTCATCCCCTGCCTCCATTCTTCGGAACTGTAGTGAATATAATCCTAATAGAATCAACCTCTCCTCATACATCAGTCCTGCCATCTCAGGAATCAGTCTGGTAAACCTTCACGGCACTCCCTCTTTAACAAGAACATCTTGACTTGGAAAAAAAGAGACCAAAACTGCACACATATTGCATCACCAAGGCCCAGTATAACTGTGCCAAGACATCCCTGCTCCTGTACTTGAATCCTTTTGCTATGAAGGCCAACATACCATTGGCCTTCTTCACCGCCTGCTGTACCTGCATGCTTACCTTCAGTGACTGGTGCACAAGGACATCCAGTTCTCACTGCATATTCCTCTCTCAATTTATAGCTATTCAGATAATAATACATCTTCCTGTTTTTGCTCCCAAATTGAATAACATCACATTTATCCACATTATACTGCATCTGCCAAATACTTGCCAACTCACATCCAAATTTTACTGAAGCATCTCTGCATTCTCCTCACAGCACACCCTCCCACCCAGCTGTGTCATCATCAGATTTGGAGCTATTACATTTAGCTCCATTTAAATTATTAACATATATTGTGAATAGCTGAGGTCCTAGCACTGGTCCCTGTGGTACCCCAGTAGTCACAGCCTGCCATTTGGAAAAAGACCTATTTATTCCTACTTTATGTTTCCTATCTGCCAGTTTTCTATCCACCTTAATACACGACCCCCTAATTTTTCACACTAGTCTCTTCCATGGTACTTTGACAAAAGCCTTCTGAAAATCCAATAAACTCTGGCTCCTCCTGATCAAATCTATGAGTTACAGCCTTGAAGAATTCCAGTGAATTTATTAAGCATGATTTCCCTTTGTAAATCCATGCTCTCTGTTCCTGCCACTGTTTTCCAAGTAGCATAGTAAAATAGGGCTGAGTTGACATGGTTTTATCAAGGGGAGGTCATGCTTGACAAATCTGTTAGAATTCTTTAAGGAGGTAATAAGCAAGTGAGACAATGGGAAGCCAGTGGATGTGATCTGTTTGGATTTCCGGAAGGGCTTTTGGTAAGGTGTTACACAGGAAGCTGGTAAATAAGATAAGAGCCCATGGTTTTAGGGAGAAGGTACTGGCATGGATAAAGGATTGGCTGACTGGCAGAAGGCAGAGTGTGAAAAATGGGGTCTTTTTCAGGATGACAGCTGGTGACTAGTGGAATTCCACGGGGTCAATGTTTGGATGACAGTTATTCATGTTATACATTAACAATCGAGACAAAAGGATTAAGGGCATTGTTACTATGTTTGCAGATGATACAAAGATACCTGGAGGGACAGGTAGTGTTCAGGAAGTGAGGAGACTGGAGAAGGACTTGGACATGTTAGGAGAGTGGGCAAACAAGTGGCAGATGGAATTCAATATGGGAAAGTGTGAGGTTGTGCACTTTGGTAGGAAGGAAAGATGTAGACTATTTTCTATATGGGGAAAAGCTTAGGAAATCTGAAGCACAAAGGGCTTGGGGATTCTAGTTCAGGATTCTCTTAGGGTTAACATGCAGGTTCAGGTGGCAGTCAGGAAGGCAAATGCAATGTTAGCATTGATTTCAAGAGGACTAGAATACAAGAATAGAGATGTGTTGCTGAGGCTGTATAAGGCTCTGGTCAGAATGCATATTGTGAATATTGTGAGCAGTTTTGGGTCCCATATCTAAGGAAGGACGTGGTGGCCTTGGAGGGCATCCAGAGGAGATTTGTGAGAATAATCTTGGGATGACGGGCATATCATATGAGGAGTAATTGAGGACTCTGGGTCTTCATTCGAGTTTAGAAGGATAGTGGGTGGGTGATCTGACTGAAACTTACAGAATACGGAGAGGCCTGGATAGACTGGACATGGGGGTGTTTCCATTAATAGCAGAGACTAGGACCCCAGGGTCCTCAGAGTGAAGGGACAATCCTTTAGGACTGACATGAGGAAGAATTTCTTCAGTCAGAGGGAGGTGAAGCTATGGAACTCAGTGCTGCAGAGGTGTGTGAAGGCCAAGTCATTGAGTGTATTTAAGATGGAGATTCTAGGTTCTAGATTCATAAGGGGTTCAAATGTTATGGGGAGAAGGCAGGAGAATGGGGTTGAGAAACAGACCAGCCATGATTGACTAGTGGATCAGATGCAATAGGCCAAATGGCCTAATTCTAAGCCTTTATCCTGGTCATATGGTGCTCAGCTATTAAATCTTTTCCCCGTGACCGATGTGAGGCTGACTGGTCTATAAGAAAACAAAGAAATGAGCATGCTTAAGGTCTGAAACAAAAACAGAAATTGCTGGAGGGTAAGGATGGAAAAGTGAGCAGATAGGTGGAGGTGGAGTCCAAAGAAAGAGAGAGAGATGAAAGGGTTAGGTAAACAAGGAGATTACAAAAAGCAGCCCAGGACAAAAGAAAAGCTGAATAATTGATAATAAGAGCTAAGAGTGAGAGAATTTGGGTTAGTAGTACTGAATGCAGCCCATATGAGGGATAATGGGCCTTGACTACATCGGAATGGGTGACTGTGCTAAACACCACCCATTTCATAACAGGACCAGGCATTGGGTGGGTAAAAAAAACTTGGAATCAGACAATCCCTTTACACGTCCATTCCCCACCATCCCCCATTAGAATGGTCTCAGGGCTCTCCACTTCTGGGGAAAAAAAAGGCCTGAACCAACCCCATCCTTAGGTCGAGCTTGTCCTCACTGAACAACTTCTCTTTTGACTCCTCTCACTTTCCTCAGGTCAAAGGAATGGCCATAGGAACCTGCATCAGCTTCAGTTATACCTGCCTCTTTGTGGGATACATGGAACATTCCTTGTTTTAGTCCTACTCCAGCCTCTACCTACAACTCTTTCTCTGGTTCATTGATGAGATCATTACTGCTGCTTCCCTCTCTTTTTCTGAACTGGAAAATTTATCAATTTTGCTTTTAATTTCCACCCTGTCCTCACCTTCACCTGGTTCATCTTCGACTCTCCCTTCCCTTCCTCGAAATCTGCTTCTATTTCTGGGGATAGGCTGGCCACCGGTATCCATTACAAACGCACTGATTCCCACAGTTACCTTGACTATACATCCTCACACCCCTCCTTCCTGTAAAGACTCCATCCCATTCTCCCAGTTTCTGTCTGTGGCATCAGTTTGATGCACCTTTCACAGGGGGGCCTCCAAAATGTCCACCTTTTTCCCTCAACAGAGGATTCCCTGCTACTGTGGTTGACAGGGTCTTTAGCCATGTTCGGCCCATCTCCCATACTTCTGCCCTCACCCCTTCCCTTCTTTTCCACAACAGCAAAGGGTCACTCAGGTCCTCACTTACTAGGCCCCAGCCTCCACATTCAAAGGATTGCTTGGTGCCATCCGTCATTTCCAACAGGATGCCACATATTCCCTTCCCCTTCCCTCATCAACACTCCGCAGGAACTGTTCCCTCTGGGACTCTCCTCCATCCCCAACATCTCCTCACACTCCCACAGCACCTTCCCTTGCAACTGCAGCAGGTGTAACACCTGCCCATTTACTTCCTCCCTCCTCAGTGTCCAAGACCCCAGATACACCTTCCAGCTGAAGCATCAATTTACCTGTACTTCACTCGACCTAGTCAACTGTATTCACTGCTCACAATGTGTCTCCTCTGCACTGAGAAGATGAAAACCAGGCTGGGTGACAGCTTTGTAGAACACCTAGCTTCCAGTTGCCTACCAGTTCAACACACCCCCTCGTTCTCTGGCCAACATTTCTGTCTAGGGCCTGCTGCAATGTTCCAGCGAAGCTCAGTGTGAGCTCGAAGAACAGCATCTCATTTTCCACTTGGGGACCCTGCAACCTCTAGGACTCAACATTGAGTTCAATGACTATAGAGCCTGATTCCATCCATCCATGTTTTTTGTTCCCAACCCCACACCCAGACTTGGTATGACACAGTCACCTATTCCAACATACTCCTAGACCCATTATCACATTATATGGTCTTCATTCAGCACAGCTAACCCAGTTTCCCACTCTTAGCTCTTATTATCTGTTATTCAGCTTTTCTTCTGTACTGACCTGCTATCTATAATCTATCTACTCCTTTCATATCTCCCTCTGAGCTTCATCTCCACCTATCCACTCACCTCCTGACACTCCCACTTCGGCTTCAGTA